GCAGCGAGAAGTAGGCAGCCGTACTCAATCGAACTCGCAGTTATCATTCGAGCGAACTTTCTGCACGGATGGGGAGATTTAGAAGAGAGGGGTGGCCGAAGCAGCTCATGAGCCAGGCGAGTTTTCCCAAGAGGGACGCGATGCCGGGCCGTCTGTTCTGGCAGGGCTTGCCTCGTGCAAAACGGGTCTGGGCCCAGAAGTCGACTTGAACGGTTTTGCAGGCGCGGGAGCGTTCGCAAACTCCGACTCCTCTGGGCCCTCGGCTTGAGTCAAATCATCCTGGGCCTCGGTTGTTTGGTCGTTCAGAGCTCTGCAGGTCGTTCCAAGTCGCCACACCCGAGGTACACAACACACAGGGCACAGCACCTGCCGTTGGCAGCAGTTCTGCCGCAGGTCTGCATCCCCATCCGGAGCATCTGCGGGTGCGTTTGGCGGTCACTCGTGGGGCAGATGATAAACATCTCCAAGTGATGACTTTAAGAAGACCTGTGACACCACTGCAGGCTACTACTCACCCCGCAGTCCATCACCGGTGCTGATATCGCGGCGTGCTAAGACAGAAGAGACGCCAACGAGTCGATCTTCATCTGCACATGTACGAGGCCACGAGATGGTCCAGATTCGCAGGCAACTTCCAGCAGGCATTCACAATTCTGTGTTTGCTCGAGAATTCCGCTGGCCTACACAGAAGTTTTGCAGCGACAGGTCGGCAAGGCAGCGATTCCAGGGAGCCTGGAAAGCCATGAAGTGCTCTGCTTAGTTACTTGGACTAGTTGACTTGACCCATTTTTTTGGCCGGGGGTTTCTCGTTTCTTGTTTCCAGGCGCTTGGGGAAAACACACAAGGAGATGGATGTCAGGCCTGGGATTTCGCCGACAGCAGGCACAGGAAACAAGCACGTACTACCTTGTCAGGGATTCTCGACAATGAGATGGCAAGGCTTGTCGAAGCATCGTTTGCAAGCTGGCTCGGCCCGTAGGTTTTTCTCGTGCAGAGGGGGCACAGTGCAGTCGACGGCCAGAACTTGCACAAGTGGATGGGATTGACCCAGGGGTTTCACGCCGTACTGGAGACCTTCCAAGAAAGTCGCAGTACTTCGTCCAGAGGTTACGAGTTTTACAGTGAGGTTGCATCTTGACAAGCAGGATGCAGTACCATTTTATGCTCACTCGCCATGCTTGAAGAATGGTAAATGAACACGCAAAAGATGTTGCATGATGTTCCATGGCACATGGCAATATTGAAACCTGGTATGTCTTGGTGGGGCTTTGATTCTGGACTCTGCGGTTGCGATGATCTTGGGCACATGACTCGGCGATTTTGTGATTCTGGCTGACAAGCCTACCCATCCCAAACATTCATTTGCTGGTGAGCTCCCACCAACAGCTGCAACAACAAGACAACACCGAGGCAGAGCAACAACACCAGAATAGCCCCGCCAGAACACACAAAACCACAGAAACAAACAACCGCGGACCAATCAGCCCAACAACATCCGCCGACCGACGAGGCATGTCGGTTACCGTGTTCGAGCACTCACAGTAAGCAGCTTCGTACGCCCAAACATAAAGAACTCGGCGGCATGTCATGCCTTTGCTAAACCCTAGAATTGATGCATGTCGGTTGCCGTGTCCTACCCTCGCAGAAGAGGAAGGCTTACAGCGAGCAGATTCGTGCGTCCAAGCATAGAACGAGGAAGCCAGCTGCATGCCATGTCGTAGCTAAACCCGAAAGTTGATGCGCGTCGGTTACCGTGTCCCATCCACGGAAAGGGAACACTTCCAGTAAGCAAGTTCATGCGTCCAAGCATAGGCAAGCCGGGTGCATGATATATCTTACTGATATTGATGCGTGTCGGCTACCGTGCCCTACTTCGCAAAAAGAAATGCTTACAGCAAACAGGCTCCGATGTACAAACGTACAGAGCCGGGCTGCATGCCATGTCTTTGCTAAACCCTAAAGTTCATGCGAGTCCATTACCGTGTCCTAGCGCGAAGGGAACGCTTTCAGTAAGTAGGTTCGTACATTCAAAAAAAAAGGAGGAACCCGGCTGCATTAGGGTTGTGATACGATTAGTAACCTTCAGGATACTAATGGTGTTACAGCAGCAGCAAATGTCGCAATCATTATCATCATCGTCATCGTCATCATAAGCACGACAACAGCAGCAGCAGCAACGACATCATAAATTGTGAAAGCGGACGTGTGCAGTGCTCTTTGGTTAGCAGTGCCGGGCCTTTAGCCCAATTTCGGGTCAAAGAGTTTGCGAGAATTTAAAGAAGATCGTTTAAGCATTTTGCCGGGACCTAGTTCTGCATATGGCTTCTGGCACACAGCAAGGCCAGCGTACAGATCCAACACAGACCGTGCGATTCTGGATAATAAGGAAATTGAGCTGCTTAGAAGTGTTGCAGCAACAACAACTGCAGCTATGCCAATGACAACGACGACGACGACGGCGACGGCAACAACTACAACAGCGACAACAACAGAAGGAAGCATCTTCAGTGTCGTCGAGGGGGCGACATGCGTTTCACGCGGTGATGGAAAGCGTGACTTGGCTTGTCAAAGCTGGCTTTGATGGAATGTCTAGTCTTCAGCCCCAGACCAAAACCCCCAAACCCGAAGTGTCGGGGGTAGGCTGTGTGAAGAGCATTGACGACCACGATACGGCATGGTGTAGTAGTATTGCGGTATGGTGTTGACATGTAATGATAACAATACCAATAGAACATTATGCAGGCGATAGAAACTACAACAAAGTAAAGGGCTTGGAGTTGTATAAACATTACGTTACAGGTTTTAACTTGAGCAGTGTATTCCTCTGCAAGACTTGCTCATTACGAACATTATTATTGCCATCGTTGTGGCGATTATCGCTATTCATGTTAGATCTGTCAGACCAGAATGCCAATGAACCTGTAGCAAAAGCCATCACCCAGCAACCATGATGTTTGTGGTCAGGCCAACCGACCCCAGTCTAAATTCAGCAGTAGTAGCCACTCCGATGATCAGAATGTCATCATCATCACCATCATCGCCATACAGTTACTTTGAATTACAATCATGAAAGTTCTACGGTTTTCATTGGTTCCACATCATCATTCCTAGCATTATTGCTGTTCTGTTTCTGCCTTCAACTCCCAAGTGAGGCGAGGTGAACTAACGACAGCAGATCCAGAAAAGGATGACAGACGTCGCGTGTGTCCCTCTTGGTTGTGTTTCTTTACTGGAAGAACGGCGCAAGAAACACACGATGATCTGCTGATTGTCTAGCATTTCAGCCTCAACCTTCATCACCGGCAGCAGCAGTGGCAGCAACAACAACAACAACGATGTCCTCTAGCTTTAAGACTGGTGCAGAAAGGCTCAAATTGTTCCAAGATGCAAGGAATCACACGATGTCAGCTCTGTACACTTGACGCCAAGAGTCCAAGACCATGCACAGTGTTTTTGAGAGCGTGCACAGCATGTCGTGGATGCATTGATGATGGCACTCCTGGCAGAGGCAGCGAGGGGGACGAAAGCGGAGCTTTTCGAAAAAGCGAATGTGTAAGGCCCACAGAAGGACCCTACTCAGAGACATGCCGGACATGTGCTCATGCGGACTACTTTGTTCTGAGTGATGAGAGTGCACGCAGTTGGGTCTCACTTTGGTAGGTCATTCACAATATGCCTTCCGTTAGGGCAATGTGGACAAATGTTGGTTTTAAAGTTCGCAGATCCATCTCATAATCGTGGGGCGATAATATATTAGGCGCCTGCAGACAATGTTCAATCAACTGCCGATGGGCTCGCAAGCAGAGAACGTGGTTGTGCAAAAAGTGACTGCTCGGTCTTTCGCTCAGACAAGAGAAGTCGTCCCAGTCGTTTGCAGGCCTCCGCGCGTCCTGAGTTCCCGATCTCCGATTCACAGCATCTCGAGGATTCCTCATGCAATGCAGACTTGAGAGGCAGCTTTGCAGTGCATTGACGTCCTTGCATGATAGGAGCTGGCTCTTTGGGGAGCTCGTGCGAAAGGCACGCTTTCGTGAGACGCAACTCAAGCCCGGGAACCTCGCTCACCGTGACATCGAGGTCACGACGGACTCGTCTTGCGCTCAGAGATGGGTGCGGGACATTCGGATTCTGACGCGCTGCAAAAATGCGCCGGGCCCAGGATCAAGGGTACTGGCAGCCTTGGGGACCGCCTTCCAACCTCCAAGACGTGGCGCGTGCCGAGAAGGAGCAACAGAGCCAAGACTGGGCGGTTGCCCCCAAGACGTGCCGAAATGCACATTCTTTGTATGTTTTTGTTCAGTTGCCAGCCCTAAAGCCGAAGCCTTTGCGGATCAAGACCCTGCGCATCCCTGCGCCGGTAGAGCTCTCGACATGCAGGGCTCATTCGGTTCGGCCACCATGAGATTGGATGCCTTGGAGGCTGAGTTGAATCAGCTCCGAACGCAAGAGGCACAATTTCATTAAAGCCACGAGGGCCGCCAACTGCGTTCTGCATGTCCATAATATGCATTGTCCGCTAGGCCACCTTGAGCCCTGTTAGGATTTGCGGGCACCCTTGCGTATGCCACCCCTTGTCAAGGTGTCACCTACACCTACAGCGAATCCCAGCTTGCCAAGGATAAATGGACCCAGTCCCTGTCCGACTGAAGACCACAATCCCAATGAGAAGGCATTCAAAGAGTTACTGGTTGCGCACCGGGAGTTGCTCCAGACATCTCCAGACGCTCACAACGCAGTCTGCCGGGCAGGCAGAGCTTGTGCAGCAGCATTCCGAGCTTATGAAAGCTCACCAGGAGCTTGTCCAGCTTCGCTCTGTGCCAACGCCGCCGCCCGAGCTGAGGCCTGCAGGCTCCGCAAATCCACGCATTCGCAGGCAGAAGTCGCGTCACTTTGTGAGCAACGTCATTGATCTTCAAGCTCCAAGTGAGCCAACCCTTTTGGATAACACCCTTCGCTTCCTTCCGTAGCGAGCTGTCCGTGATGTGTCTCTTGAGCCCAACATGAACGACAGAGGTGACAGTGACAAAACCATGTGGAGTAGACGTGTCTGGGAGTTGAGGGGGCTCATGGCCACTTTCCACAGTGTCAAGCTGGCCAAGATTGCATCCGACACCGCTCAACTCACTGAGTTCCGAAAGCGTGAGCTCAAAGCCAAATTGCAAGATCCCACAGTGCGACAGGCTTTGCGGAAGTTCGCGGCGAGGTGGCGAGGTGCAGCTTATTGCAACCGGTGCATCTTTGCGGTCCTTGATCGTTTGAAGTATTCGAACTTACGGGGCACACTGATCTATGTGCATGGCTCCGGAGGCTGCAGTTGGGACAACTACCGGATATGTCGAATGATAGCTGGCATGGGAATTCTTGTACTCGCTCCGACTGGTTTTGCATATCCAAAGAACACTGCTATGGGTCAGATGAGGCACAAGGAAGTGGCACCTCTGCATAAAACCACGGATGCTGTGGACTACTGGGCAAACGATCTTGTGTACACTTCTGGTGCGAATGGGACGTTCAATTACTCCAGCAAGGCAGCCTCAGCTCCAGAGTTGCAATTCCTGAGACCTCGTTTGAGGACGTTTCAGCACGTGCACATGTCAAGCCTGCCAAGGTACTGCAGAAGCGCGACGAGTACAAGGACATCTATGACATCTATGAAAAGTGCTATCAACTGCGGTGGTCGGAGCTGCACTTCACGATCTCCCACCTGGGTTCACTCTCAAGGCTTTGATTTGGGTGGCACGTCTGAAGGAGCTATGACAGCTGCAAGGTTCGATGACCAGAGATATGGTGCCATGCTCATCCGGCGCTTCATCAATTCCTTCAGCATCGAGTTCTGTTACTGTACGCCGAACCGGAAGCAGGACTGATCGGCGGTCAGCTGGATGTGCCGATCGGCACGAAGGATCAATGTGTCGGCAAGGAGGATTCAGTGGCGAAGTTGGTGGCAGAGAACGGTGTGACAGGATACGGCGACAGGAATTTCACAGGAAATGGATACAATATGATACAATACTCTTGTTCGACAGGGGGTGGACGTCGGCCTGGTGTGTGTTTTGGAGATCGTTGGCCATGACATAAGAGCTGTTTGGCACCTCCCGTACGACATGTGTATGTTTATGACCCCGTTCACGAAAAAGAGCACTTTTCCGCCTTTGCCCGGGGTGAGTGCATTCTCCATGCAGCACGCACGACAACTTCATGCGGCAGATCTTCAATACCTTCTTCTCCAGGGTTCTTTGCCTGTGCATACAGAACCGACAGGCAAGCTCCAGTCAAGCAGACACATGCCGAGGGAGAAGCGCAACGGGACAGACAACACAAAGAGATAATTTCGTGTACGGGGTGGTCTTAACGCCTGCCTTCCCCCCAAGCTCAGTAAGCTTAGGAAGAAGAGACGGCAGTCCTCCACCTTGAACTCTGATTCGATGAGGTGGAGCTCACGCTTGACCCGGTAAGATGCTTTCCGGCCTGCAACATGTCGCGATCAGACAAGATGCTTCTTTTCTCACAAGGAACTACTTGGGGATTTCGCCCGAATTTGATTTGTCGAGAATAGACCCGCTTTCCGGGAAAGCCTCTCATGGTTCCACATTTAAATTTGGCTACATTGACCCGCCTTTTTGGCAGAGGTCGCGGAAAGAGCAGTGCAACGAGCCAACCAGCGGAGAGACACACACGGAGGCACACGGTCGTCGTTCCAGTCCCAACCATGTTTGCCTGTGCAACGCTAACCAGCACACACCCTGCCATCGAAGGAAGGATTTTCAATCCTGTTTCCCGTGCATCCCCACGGCTGTCTCATGAGTCAACTGCAGGACCTTGCAGTGGACTGACCATTGCAACTTTTCAGCAACGATGGGAAGCCTGCTCGTTGCTTTTCCTCTAGCCGTGTAGAGCAAGACGTGACACACGCAGATGCGCAAAATGTAAAGTGCGGCACGAGGTTGCAGACCAGGGCCTCCCCTCTGAATTCGCCACTGTTGCTGAGAGACGGAAGCAGAGCGAAATCAGGAATGCCGGCAGTGAACTGCCAGAGGACGCCATCCATTTGGGAGCTGCATATGCAACTCCGAAGCATTATATGATGGGACCGCCATCGTAACAGTCTGGAGACAAGATTTGGGCTGTAGATCCATCTATGAGGGCCCTGGTTCAGCTTGTCGCGGTCTCAGCTTGGAAGCGTGTCAGAATCGGGAGCCAATTCGTTACTCAGTCGATCCAGGAAGACACTACTGCCGTCGGTAAAGGAATGATTGGCAGGAATATCACCCGACTCCTGGTGCCCAAGATGAAGTACCCCAACAGGATGAGTTTCGCCAGGTTGAGAACTTGCGGTCCTTCAACAGTCAGGACGAGCTTCGGGATGCGATGGCCAAAGAGAAGTGCATCATTGAGGCAGGACAAAAATCAAGGAACAGCTGGACCGCGTTCGGGTGGAGGCAACCAAACAGCGAAACTTGAAGCTGACGGGAAAGCCCGCATCGAACTTTTATGCAAAAGACAAGCTTGCTATCAAGTGTGCGTGGAAAGACTGGCTTAGAATGCACAGATCTTGAAACATCGCATGCGCAAAGATTGCTGCGAGAGATGTCGCTACACCTGGAATATTCGGACGCTTCTGTCCGAAGACCTGAATATCAGGCGTTACCAGCGGCAAAACAGCCAAGATAATGCTTTCCGGAGAAGACAACTCGTCGAAGTGCGGCCAAAAGTAATTCGAAGGAAGACTAAAACTGCCCAGAAGCTGTCGGAGGATGCCCTCGGTGCCTACTCCCAGTGGACGACCAAGCAGCTCAGGAGCGCAGACACTCGCAAAGGCGCTGAAGCCCGTGAGCCCGGCCTCTCTGCGAGGAGTCAACGTGATGCCGTGGCACGCCTTGCCGCCGCTCACGTCCAGCTCCAACAATGTTCGATTCCTAGGCCACACAAGAGCCAGCTGCAGCAGAGTACGGACGCTCTTGCACCCTCTTTCTTCCCAGGCATCAGTGCTGATCTCGTGGATGGCAAAGCGAACTTTGCCTCTGCCGTCGTGCGCACGCCCAGTACGAATTGTTGAACGTCGTCATGGGAACTCTCAGCTGAGGTGATGCTGACGGAAATGCCGAGACGCATGCAAGCCATGGAGGCTGGCAAGGGAGGCTTATGAGAGAAACGGAAATTTGGATCAGGATGCAGCCGACAGGGTTTCGATCTGCAGACTTCCGGAGTTCGAAGCTGTTCACGCAAGATCATATAAGAAGCTTGAGCTGTTGGGTTGTCGTTTGGGCTTTGCTGGGGCCCTGGCGCCTGGGTCTAGGAGGCATTGAAGGTCTCCGAAGGGCCCTTGCGAGGCCCCAAGTGTTGGGTTGCGGCGGGTGTTTTTTTGTAGGCTGCCCTCGCCCGAGAGCAAGTCACTAGCTTCGCACAAACAGACTTCTTTTGAGCTTCTGTGTTTGTCAGGGCATCGTTCCCAGGCTCCTCAATAAGGCTTGAGTCCAGGCTTTATCGCACCCTACAATGCTGATGTTCAGATGCTCATGAAAATGCTCCTTGCATGACATGGAACTGATGTTGCCTCTACCGGCCGAGGGCCTTCATTTTACAGTTTGCGCCTCAAACCATCGTGTGCTCCGACCGGCAGGATCGGGTGCAGACCCTGGAATGCCGCGTTCAGCTATTGAACGATAGCACGCTAAGTCCACAGCCGCAGCCCGACGCTCAGCTTGAGTTGCAGCCGCATGCGAAGTAGGTTTTCGTCATGTCGTACTCGAGGCCCAGGGTTGAGGACTCAGACGTGCCACTCTTTCGCTTCGAGATTGGCCATGAGACATGAGAAACTCGGAGAGTGCTTGGAGGCTTCATCAAACGCGTTGAAGGCTCCCCCTAGCGTCTCTGACAAGCCTTCGGATGAGGCGCGTCTCGGCGGTCTAGGGAGCTTTCGGAGGCTCAGCGCTGCTCAGCGCAGCTCAGCGCTCTGTGAGGCAGTGAGGGAGTGCAGAGAGGCGGTGGGCGTCATGTTGTCCATGCAGCAGCGGCGGCCTCAAGCATTGGCAGCATGTGTGAGCTTTGGCCTTCAGCGGCGGAAGGAACATGAAGCAGGAGTTGGCAGCGATTGAGGAGCAAATGTGCATGAGGTTGGCTATCTTGGCAAGTTTGCTCGACAAGTGCAGAAAGGGCACATCTGGACCAGCAGGTCGAATGACTTTGAAGCATCGTTGCGGGCTGCTGCGAATGCCAACCATGATGCGGTACACGCCCTCTTCGCGTCGTACAGCCAAGAAGTGGAGGCACATCAGATCGGGCTGCTCTTTTTTTCGACCCCGAAATGTCTTTTTTCAGGCCGCGAGCTTGATCCATCTTGATTTCGACACGGCATGTCTTTTTTCCGACCTCCATCTTTTTTCAGCCCCGCGACGAGGTCGAGAAAACGACACAATCTTGTTTTTCGACCTGCACTCTACGATTTAAGCCGTCTTTTTCTCGACCCCGGAACATCTTGTGCCTCTATTGTCTTTTTTGACCTTTGCAAAGATAGAGGCAGGCACACATGACAGGTACAACAGAGCAAAGAGCGCTACAGCATGAAATTTTTGCAATGCAAACTGGACAAAAGCTGACTTATCCATGCTATCTTCAAACCAACGTCTTCTCAAAAACACCAGAAGAAGAAATGCACGAAATCGCTTTAGGGGCTGAAAGCGACGAAAGAAATCAAACCGTGTCATCGAAAATAAAGTCAAACAAAAACGTTTTCCAACACGAAGAAGGAGAAGCCACACGAAATCGCTTCAGGGGTAAAAGCAAAGAATAAAATGAAATAGTGAAATTTGAACACACGCACACAAAAGCATTTGATATTTTTCCGGCCCCAACTTGTCTTTTTTCTGGCCCCTACTTGTGGCCGAAAACAGATCGAAGTCTTTTTCTGGACCGCGGGTGTCTGACAAGAAGGAAAAAGTTCGCGGGGTCTGGAAAAAGCCATTTGGGGGTCTGGGAAAAACCAGCCGCATCAGATCGATCCGAAGAAGCTTTCAGTGCTTGTCTGGGACGACCCTGCAGTCGCAGGCCCTCTATGCGCGAAGCGCTGCATGTGAAGAAGGCTCGTCACATGAATCGACAAGCAGCATGCCGGCATGGGACACCCATCTGGCAGGGCTGCAAGATCTGCAGACTCAATCATCGCTCCTCGCTGAGTGGAAGGATGCTCACATGCTTTGTGATGAGTTGCAGAATTGGTGACTATAGGTGGTTGTGGTGCGAAAAGCCTGAAGGACGGCGCGTCTTCTGACCTTGCCGAATATGCAAGGCGATTGGTGGAGGTCCAACGCTGCTTCGCTGTCCGTGATCTGCTGCTTTGCCCCTGCCGCAGCCCAGAGGTGGAGAGGGCCGCCAGGGCCGCCGCGGTGAGCTCAGGGCATGGGGCACGACGACATTCCTCCATTCCTTTACTTCCCCACGGCTCTGCGAAAGAGGAATTCACGGAGAAGATTTCCGCAGGCCCGGGCCTCTCGTCCTGTCAGACTCTCCGTGGACATGGTTTCAGCGGTTGCTGGTGCAGGGTGGCTCTTTTCCCTCCGAAGCTCCAGTTTGTGTAGGTTTAGGCCCCATCGCTGCAGGGAGCTGCGCTCTCTTCTTCAAGAAGCCGTGACCTTTTACATGTCATGGCATTTCTGCTTGTGTGGGTGACGGGGTGTGTGGATTATCGCAGTCACGGCGACATTTTTTGCTTCTAACTCTCCTTGTCAGACGCTGTGCATTGTAGAGTACATGCTATGCCTCCACGCCTCGATTCCTCGAGGTCCGTGAGCAGTCCAGTCCAAAGAGCCTCTTGAGCGGATGCGTTGGGGGACCTGATGTCTTTGCTGCTGTGCTCCTTCACGCTTTTTCGCCTGCCGATGTCTGGGACCATACAACCAAAGTTACTCCCCCTCTCTCTATTTGGACTCTTTTGGTCTCTCTTTCTCATTGCCTTGGTCTGACGGAGGTTGACACGTGCATTTCTGCAGGTCCTGAGATGCATGAGTTGTAGTGAGCACACCGGTGTGGACACAGAGGACTGTAGGGAGAGCTTTCTGCATGATCGTTCGGTAAAGCACCCAATCCTGTTCATTGCACGCTTCAAGGTGAAGGGGGGGCCTGGCAGGTGGAACCACGGCTGCCAGCAGAGCGGCATCGAAAACTGCAGCCTGGGCCACAGAAGTTTGATCTGTGTGGAATCTGCGACTGAGCTCGGAGCCCAGGCCCAGGCTGCTGGACTGGACGAGGTCGAACGGGGGGCCGAAGGGATGAGATGTTGCGCTTAGGCGGTCACTTCCAAGTCTGAAATGACGATGGATGAGCTGACGATGGCTTGTCTGCCTGGAGGGTTTGCGCGCTTCCGTGGTGCCTGAGGATGCAGGCTTAAAGAGCGGGGAGCATGTTCAGATGGGTAGCATGCAGGGTTGCAACGACAAGCAAAGGACAGCTGATCCAAGCCACACGGGCGACTTCAAAAATCGCTGTTGCGGGGGCCGCGGCCGATTGAGACCATGTTGCTTTGCCTTGTCGTGTCATTTCCGTGGATGCGGCATCTGGTTGACAAGGCCCAAGGTGTTGCATCAGACGAGGCGGACTGGCCAAACAGTACGAATGCGATGAGCTTGCGAAATGACAAGGGCGAAGTTCGATGAACATTGTAATGTCCGAAGGAAGCTGTCGGAACAGATGCTGTGAGAACGGCTTTGTCTGCCCGGAGGTTCTGCCCACATCCACGGTTTCTGAGGATGCAGGCGGATTGGGCAGAGAAGAGCAGCGTGCAGGGGCATTTCAACGAAGGAAAGCGGCTAGTGCTTGTGTGGACTTGGAGGACAGGTGATCCAAGCCGCTAGGGCGACTTCAAAAATCGCTGTTGCAGGGGCCGCGGCCGATTGAGACGATGTTGCGTTGTCGTGCCATTTTCATGACATCTCGGTTGACAAGGCCCAAAGTGTTGCATCAGACGAGGCCGATCGGCTGGTCAAGTCTTCCATCTTGCTTAGCATGGTCGTTGCTGTCAGAGTATTTTGGAAATTCTGAGGCTGTGCGAAACGTGCAGGCTGCCTTTCTGGTCATTTTATCCATTCCTTTTGGCTGCAGTGTACTGTTCCAAACAAGAGAGCGCCAGATCTCTCAGGAAGTAGCCATAAAGGCACTGGATGTCGCGCAGAAGGCACTGTTGATTGCAGAGGACGGATCCCCCTTTGTCCGTTTGTGGATCTGCGTGGTAGTCCGGTGTCAGAACGGAGGAGACACGCGCGCAAGGTTCCAAGACCTGCAAGGCTTTGCAGCTTCTACCTGATGTGTCGACAGTCTGTTCAGTCGGAACAGCTGACATGCCTTCGATCAACCGATCCAGTAAATTCTGGTGTGCTGTAGCTGCGAGGATGGGGACAAATTGGCACCACAGAAAGCAGCTGGAACTTGGTTGAGGACTCAGATACTGCGAAAATCGATGCAGCATGTGTTCATGCGTGTGGAGCATGTCTTGGATTCGAGGCCTTGCCGACCCCGGGCAAGTGGCCAAGATCCGGAAAGACACATCCGGTGGCGAAGGCTATTCCTTGCAATGCTTTCAGGTGCTGCAGGGCTGCCTCCCCTATCTACCTCCATCTTCGCTGGCACATGCATGCTCCTCAGTTTTCGCCTTGGCCTTCACCGTGTCCCTCAGAAAAAGAAACTCGGAGCGGGAGCCCCACTGGTCGGCAACCTGTCTGTCGTGCGCAAATCTCCTGAGCCGTAACAGTGCCGCAACTTCCCCGGCACGAGAGGTCATCATGCTTCAAAGTATGGAAAGCTTGACACGAGCCGCTCAGAGTGTCAACCTCTCGCAGAACTGCTGCAGGATACTTGTGGTCACGGAACATAACAGCGCGAGCATTCAACGGAACTGCTCCAGGATTTGATAAAGCAAGTGCCCCCCAGCACAGATGATTAATGGTGCGGATCAGGGCGCATGACCATGCGGGATGCCGAACCAGGTTCGCAGAGGGGTTCCTGTTGGCAGCGGTTCCATTTTCGCCTGTCCTTTCGGGAACAATCCAGCTCCATCAATTCGCAGTCGTCACAATTTGCCATACTTCATGCAGTCACTTTGGTTCGACTGCCTTCCGCCAGAGGAGATGCATCGGCCTAAGCAGTGCGTCCCCCAGCTTGAGTACCAGGTTCACAAGAGAAGCTGAGCCTGAATCCGCACAGGCGGTCGCCTGGTTGCCGAAAAGATAGAATGCAGCGACCTCATGCCATCATGCTGTCCGGGAGTCCGGAACAGCACAAGCGCTGACAGTTGCGAGGAATGGCTCATGGCACGATCGGTCTCCCAGCAGCAGTGCCACAGACCCCTGACTGCAAATCAGAGTCCAGTTCCCTGACTTCATGCGACACAACAGGGTTCGAAACGGTGTCCGGAATGCAGAGTGCGAGATGGCTCAAGAAATGAAGGCGGTGCCCTTCGATTTGTCCGGAACCGATGATCACTTTTGAGGTTGGGTCTACATCGAGACCGGCACACTTCTTGTGGGACTTTGGGATTCTGTAGCACTCATTTCGTGCTTGCTTGCCACCAGTCGCTCCTTCATACCACTCGGTCCTTTTAGGGGTCTCAGCTTTCGGGAGCCCGCAACTCCTGGAATCCTAGAGTTGGGTATGTACAGTACATGCATGCATGGACGAAGATGTGCTTTGCACTCCCATGCCGATCTCTTGTGATGATAAAGAGATCCCGCTCGCTTAGCTCACGTCGAGGCATGGCGACTCTTGAGCCGCACGATGCCCAGAAGCTAAGTCAGGCCGCAGGTTGTCGTGAAGGAGTCGATTGCTAGGTAAGAGATTTGTTGTCGGATCCTGCTCCCCGTTACCCTAATCAAAAACGTGTCAGCCGTTAGAGTACGGCGGTATGGGGATCTAGCCTCCGTGGACATGGGGCAAGACCAAGGACGACTCCGACCTCAAAGACGATACAGAGCTGGGCCCATTGCCGCAGACTGCCGAGCTTCGAGAAGCGAAAACGCCGGCGTTGGTGCTCCTGGCAGCAAGCGGAGGAGGCTCCACAGCACGGGGCCGAACTCAACAAGAGGAGGAGAAAGAGCGCTTCCTTCCTCCCACCGGTGGTTGCTTCCGCCACCTCAGTCCCCACAGTCGACTCGGCAGCTTGGGCCGCAACTAAAACGAGGGCGTGAAGAATGAGCATCTGTGACGCTTCACGACTTCGAAGGTTCCAGAAACACTCGGCCCTTGACCGCAGAGCGACCGCCAGTGGTGCATCGAGGACTTCTCCGGGGCTCCTCTGAGGGTCATTGCACTAGGAGCATTACATGCATCCGAATCAGGAGGCGTCGTTCGACCTTCGACTGCTGGACATTTGTGAGGTCAAGAAGGTGCACCTGTGCATACAAAGTGTCTTTCTGCACGAATTGAGCCGTTAATCCAACTGCTTCCGAAACTTTTCACTGCGTGCAACACGGAAAAAGAGGTGGAATGGCTCTTCTTGCGCACGTCTGTTGTGAACCTTTCGAAAGGCTAATCTACTAATCGCACTTGCTGGACCCCGAGCTCAGCTTTTGACTGAGGTCATATCCAGATAAACACGTAGCAAACCCTTTCCACATGCTTGTCCTGGTTGGGTTGGTTTCGAGTTTATTCTGATAATCCAGATTCGAAAGCATTGCTCGTTCAGTACGGTCTGATTCCGCATCGCGGGCCCAGTGCTCGCCACGCCAATGTTGCAGCCTGGGCGAATTTATTGCCTGCATGGCATCGCTGTATCCCTCGTTGCGGCGGGACGCTCAGCTGCTGATTTTGTGAAGCACCGGTCGATCCCGAACACGACTGCAGGAGTCCTTTGCTTCCTGGTCCGCAGTCACCTGGGACGCAGGCCGCGCAGACTCTCAAAGATGGAGGTGGGCCATCTCCTGGCCATCCGTCTCGAATCGCATCTCATAACGTGGCCAGTTCAGCGGCGGCTGCTGTCGTGCCAGCTCGAGGATCTGATCTCTGCAGGGACCGACACCAGGCCCAAAGCCCAGCCCGTCCCCGCCCGTTGCGGGATCTCAAGAGCCGTGGTGCCAGGTCCACTCCCAAACCCCTTGTCACTGAATTGGCCAAGTCTCAGGCCAAGCTGCATCCCAATCAGCAGATTTTCTTTCTACTCATGTGCCTTGCAGGAGCCGGTTCCGCCCGGATTGCTGAGAACTTCGATCGACGGCCAGCGCGGCCCAGCCACGCTTCAGAGCACAGAAGTGCAGCCACGTTGAAAGAGTTTTTTTCAATCTCGCATCTCTTCCAGGAGGCCGTCCGACAGAGCGGATTATGCGGGTGGGGCTCGGCATGGCTCTGCACGCTCTTGCACGTCGTGGGTCATGAGAGTGCAGGACATAGAAGAGCGCAAGGCCAGCCTCAGGACAGAAGTCTTGACCGACTGATTCCAGGTGGTAGTTTCAGAGATGTGGCATTTTGTGGCCTGAGAGGAAAGTAGCCAAGCACTCTTGGAATCCTGCGACGCCTGCTGCCCGGAAAGATTCGATCGGGCACTGAACCAAGTCACATTGGTGTCCCGACAAGGGATCTAGAGCCGTCCTTGGAAGAGCGGCCGCTCCTGCTTCTGGGAGACTTCATGCCCAAAGATGGTTTGAAGGAGGAGACATTCCAGAACAGTGGTGCCAAGCTCCGATTGTCCGCGGTGCAGGAGCCGGAAACAGGAAACCGCGAGAGAAAGATTCTTTTGTGGGTGCCTGGCTTATGGGAATCTGAAGCTGCCAGATCTGTGAAACGGTTGAGGAGTTCAGCAGTTCAGAACATGGGGGATGTTCGATAGGAGTTGGCCCGCAGCCGGCTAATCTGTCGCACAAACCGTGCGTGCACAGCTGCAGTGCGCAAGTTGAAACCTGTGTCGTGACGTATTCGTGATCGGCCAAGTCGTCCTTGCTGTGAGTCCCGTCCGTTGCAACGCTGGCGTCCCTGAGGATGAGGGCCGCCGATGTTTTGCATCTCATTGGCCCGCACCTCGGCAACTGTACCTACTCTGATACTCTGAGTGTTCACAGACATCGGCAGCCGAAGAAAAGTTGTTCGCTTGCAGAGATGGCGCGCGAAACGCCTCGACAACCTTTGAAACTTCTGGAGCTTTGAGAGAAGTTGCGGAATTATGCAAGTCGAAGGTACGCCCAGTATGCTACAGGTGTTCCGTGGATTTGCAGAAGTCTGTCCCAAAAAAGCCGAGTTCGAGCCCAGGGAGAGAAAGCAACGGGAATATGCGCGACGAAGCCGGCTCGGGCAGCTAAATATAGGAAGCTACGTGTGCTCAAACTACGCATTCCACTTGGGTGGGCGACAGAGGCTATGTAAGTAGCCCGTGGCAATCACGGGCACTCCGCCTTTAGTGACGGATGCTGAGACGTTTTGGCTTGCCATCGGATTGGGCCGGACGGCGCCGTCAGTAAGATACATGCAGGCTCGCTCAACCTTAACATGCGCCAGCCCCCCCCACTTTTTGACTCCACCTCCTGCCCTCGGCCTTGCGGCCTTGCGGCCTTGTTCAGGCCCGGAGCTTTGGCCTCAAGCTTCTGCAGCTACGCTTTTGACCTGCTGTTGCGGCATGGGCAAGGGCCCTTCAAGAAGCTCCTGGGAGCTGGCAGTGCTGTCACTGCAGCCAAGGCCCTGGGAAGCACTGCACAGCAAGAAGGGCCAAGTCACGCGAGAGACCTGTCCGCGCCCCGGCCCGGCGTAGCCCGCTGCTCAGAACTGAAAGCTGGTGGAGCCAAGGCTGGTATGTTCGAGCAGGCTGTCGATGTGACTATACTTACGGCATCGCGAGAGCTGGGAGCCCCGGACCTGCCCATGCTTTCAGGCTTTCAGGGTCCGGTCAGGGTCTACGTCGTCTACGCCTTGCTGGCCCAGGTCAGAGCCAGGAAGAAGCCTTCAGCCACCTTTCGAGCAGCAAGACTCCAAGATAAGAGCTATCGGGCTCAATGACTCCCGCAGTGGTGTGAAAACCTTTGGGTGAGGCTATGGAGACGTTGCTTGAAGAAGTGATGGGCCAGGAGCTTGGTTGAAAACTGTCGTTAGCAAACGAAATCATCGTTATGGGAGACCTGAGGTCGGGTTTGTCCTTGGCTACCAAAAGACGCGTGGCCGAATTGTGCAAATCTAAACCTTTACACTGAAGCATGGCAGTCGGTCGGTGTTGGCCTCAATTTGACAGATGCTTCGCAGATCTTCCACGCTTGTGATGCTCTTCGCTGCAGGTTGGCACGCCGATGACGAGTCTCTGTTCATGGGTCCCTGCTGCAGCACTGAAGTCCACAAGGCTTCTGTGAGCTGAGCCGCCCTTCCCAGGCCGTGATCGCGACTGTCCCATCCTTTCAGTGTCCTTGGGTGCCAGACGGGAGAGCTCACCTCAGATTGGAGCTTTGCTGAGTGCGAGCAAGCATGACATGAGCGCACGTCGTCTACATCGGGCTGTGATCAGACCATCGCCAAGTGAGCTGAATGATGAAGCTGCTCGGAAGATCCCATGTATCATTATCGGCAAGGGACAAGCATCCGATAAAGAGAACTGTAAGGCTGAGGGTGCATTTGCTTCATTTTGCGGAATATCAGGTTTTGGCTTGCCTTGCGGCACGAGAACTGCATGGATCCACAGTTAAAGAGTATCGTCGAGGCCCGTGTGCATGGGTCTGAGTACTCTCCGGCTGCTGGTTTTGCGAGGGTTGCAGAGATTATTCTCCAGAGGTCAGAGGCACATTGACGCTGGCTGGCAGGTGGACTTGTGTGATGGAGACGTCTTGACAATGGAGGCTGCTAGTCTGGAGAGTGCGCTGCAGACACGTGTCTCGTTCATCCAGTTCTTGCCTGTACTGTTCGACATGCCGGACGTCAATCCGAGTCCAGGCATGTCCACAATAGCCCACGTCTGTTGGTATTCCTGACAGGGGCTGTGCCAGAAGCATTGTGTCCACTTCGTCCCGTGCGACGTTCGCAATGTGGCACCGCATCCGCGGGAGTCCAAAGGCGGCTCCTCGCACGCAGAAAGATTTCAAGAAGCACCGCACTTCTGCTTTTGACGAGGGGCTCGCATCAACGTTACTTGGCGCTGGATCCGCGATCACAAGCAAAGGTGTCGGAAGCTTAGGTGGTGCACGTCAAGACGGCTGTGTGGAGTTGTTACAACCTTTTCCAAGTTATCGTGCTCAGCCATTGCACTCTTCAGATTATGTTGCTGGGCCAATGCTTGCATCATCAGGTCCTAGGAGAGCAGCTGACGGAGACAGCACCACCGACTTTTTCTTTGAAAAACAAGGCTTGGCACACGAAGTTATCTCTGTCTCGCAGACCCTCGAATTCTTTTCTAGGCCAAGTGCCTTCGGAGAAGAAAGCTCTGTTCGCACATTCGTGGGCTGCAGACTGAGTGAGAAATTGCTCGGGTTTGTGGCGTTCAAGCAGTGGTGTAGGGGGTACCCGTTTAAAGCACGTGTGGAAAGTCTGACGGATCCAGTTGTGCGCCTCCGAAGCTTTGCCTTAGGAAGCCGGTGCAAGCCAACACGAACAGGGTGGGAGAGCAGTGTAGACTGAAGAACATCTTCATGGAACAATCGTGCAAAATACCCCCGTGCTTCAAAAGTAGTACCGTACTTTGCGAGCTAAAATTTTACTGTGACTTCCGTCGTGCATGCAAAGTGCGGTTCATTCACATACATGCCATAACACAGGGAAATCGTACCTATCTATTTGCCTAACTATCCATTACATACCTACCTACCTATCCGTCTATCTATTTGAATGTCAGTCTATCTATCTATCCATTCGTCCATCTATCTACCTATCCATCCATCAGTCTATGTATCCATCGGTCTGTGTCCATCGGCGTCTAGCCATCCATCTATCTATCTGTATATACAGATGCGTATCATGTGGGCGAATCATTTTATCGCGGCGTCCCTCATGGAATCATGTTGAAAGCTTCAAATTAGCAAACTTTTAGTCCAAGGCAGGGGGTCGGGCAATGGCTTGGAGATCCTGTCAAGAATGTGTTGCTGCCCCAGTCATGACAGCAAAAGCACGTAAGTTGCAGGTGAGTCTGAGAGGTTGGTGCTATTGAAGCTTCAGCACATTTCAGGACCACGATGCATGGAAGGGCGGCCGGAACTGCTTGAAGCACCAGTCTGCGCCTTGCAGTGGCTTTGCGCGTGCATGTGACGACGAACACCGCACTTGCTCAGGAAGCAGTGGCTTTGCAGGCAGAGCGAAGCACGAAGGGATTGGATCGGCTCTCGCCTTGCAAGTGCCTGGATCCTGGAAGGCCTTGCTACGAGTACGTGCTCACTGGTGCCCAGCCCTTACAGCAGACATCGCTACGGCTACGGCTTTGACGGCCTCTTTCTTCAGGGGCCTCCTCGGGAAAGGCTGCAACCACCAAGGCCACGAGGGCAGAGGCGCGCCCAGCTCGGCCCAGACAGAGCACGGAATCAAATCGAATCCAGGCGGCCGGACATCTCCATGATCAGAGCTCGTGCAGTTCAAGCTGAAGCAGTTGAGGTGGGGGCGTAGAACTTTTCACGTATGCTGGGGAGTTGTGCATGAAGATTCAATGATGTGGCTCTGTCCGTCCGATGTCCTGCAGAAGGCGCCTGCATGCCCGCGCACGCGTGCTCGAGCCTGTGTGCACGGCCCCGCGCGCACGCTTTGTTCTGCGCTTCGTGTGTGTTCGGTGACGCCGAGGCAATGAATTTGGAAGAAATTGCCTTCTGACCTTCTCCTTTTCTAGGTTTGACGATGTGGCAGAATCGTGAATCGCGACTCATGGCTCGATCTTGACCTTTAAACAGGAAGGCACAAACCAAGCTGCTGTCAAAACAGAAGAAGATTTCTGCAAGTGCTTGAGTGCATGCCAGCATGTGCCTGTGAGGGTATTCGTGTGTAAGCTTCTTCCAGGCGGACGAAGACACAGCGTCTGAAGCAACTCCTGATCCTGCTGATGCGAACCGGTATGTCTCTCAGGGAACGGTGTCTGGTACTGGACAACGGCAGTGAGCAAATGGCTTAGGCCTGCCAGTTCAGTGAAGAGCTCAGCACATGCTGGTGCTCTATCGGTGCCATCCACATGTCTGGGTTCCGATCAAGAAGTTTGTAAGCAAAGGCGGGCTGGGCACTCTTACCCGTCTTACCCACCTCCGAACGAAGCCCGTGTTCAATCACTCGCTCACACCGAATTCCATGTCAAGCCTTATTCTCAGAGCGCTTCCTTTGCAGATTGGATCTAGTGCAATGGCCTCATGTGAATCCGGTGAAGCCCCTGGTCATGATCCGGTGTGCATACAGCCTCCCCAGCAAAGCGTGCAAGAGGCGCGTTGGCACCATTGTTGCCGAATCTTGATTCTAGCGGGCTCAAGCTGCCAGAGCTTTCAGGAGCACTTCTGCATGCAGACGATGAAGGCTTTCTGACTTCGCTCATGTTGGCTGACGTTGGCTGTATCTTCGTTGGAGCAATAGTTGAACTTGTCTTTCCTTCAGGCGCACATGTGCATCCTTCAACACCAGCTACAACTGCAGCAGCACCAGGTACACCCACAAATCTCGTGTGCTTCATGCTCCTACAGCAAAGCTTCTGAACACATGATTCCTCTGACAGGCGCTTCTCGCCCTTGCGGCAGCTGGCAACAGGCAATTAGAAGGGTGTTGAGCCTCGTCCGTAAAAGTGCCATTCGAGAAGTGATCCCGATTCGCCAAGCCGATTCAAGCACGCCGGCGGTTCAAACATCCACGCTTCAAGCACTGGAATTTAGGGCGTGGCTTAGTGTTGGAGGCTTGCGGGGAACTCTTTGAGCAGTCTTTAGCGGTGTGCATTTTGCGGATGGCGAAAGGATCGAGTCTTCGGAGTTTTAGGGTTGAAAGGTTTAAGGGCTGTACAAGTACCATTTGAGTGTGTTTCGGCTGTAGGTTTAGGGTTCTAGCGTTAAGGATTCGGGTTTGGGGCATCAGGAGAGCCGAGTCGTTGTGGTTTTTCGGATGGGCGGTGGGCGGATGCAGGCCGGCCAGCAGAGCAGCAGAGCAGCAGAGCAACAGAGCAGCAGAGCGGGCAGTACACGCAGACTTGGCCCACGCATCGTGGGTAGCTGGGCAAGAAGGTTTTGTCAAGACTCTTTGGCAGGCACGTGCCACCCTTGTCAGAAGCTCCGCAAGCAATCGATTACGACCTAATGCATGCTGTCAGTGCCGGCCAAGAGGCTTCTGAGCATTCTTCTGTGTCAAAGCACCCGTCCTCCGCTTGGCGGTTGACGGCTCCACTCGTCAAATAGTTGGATATACTCTGTTGTGCCCGATCCGGGACGAGTCAATCACCGGAAACCTTCCTGCGGATCAACCTCCGCTTTGCAACTGCGACCAAAAGCTGCTGGTTCTTCGCCGGGCTGTCAGGGCTGTGGCCAAGGTCGTTGCCGAGACGGAGTTCGACGGCACTTTCATTTTTGTTGGCGATTGTCCGGCTGCATTGCAGTCTTCGACCGTCGCAACGCGATGACAACGTCCTGACTTTGAAGCATCGGTGGCCGAGCTTTCGGGTCCAGATCCTCACTGCTGCGTTCTTCGGCTTAGGACGATTCCCGCACCGGCAGCACGGCTGAAAGTCCGGGAATGGCTTGGGACGTCTGAACCTCCTAAGCCCAAAACCCGAAAAGCAAGATGCTGAAGACTCGGCTCTCTTTGGCTGCTGCTACGCCACACCCTGTAAAGCCCATAAACGCTTCCAGCCCTCAAACCTGAAGCCGCAAGCACAAAACGTGCAAACCTGCGCAGTGTGCGAGTCCGCCGCCCCAGTGGGGGAAGAATAAGGACCAGTGTGCGAGGAGAAGGACCAAGCGTCGCAGCTTGCGCCTGCTTTGCTTGTTCAGGCAATGGCCCTGGTCGATCGAAGCACCCGGGGCAGCGGTGCATGACCCAGTGGTCATCGAAAGGCAACGTGTGGGGCGGGGGCGCTTCAAGTTCACAGGATGGGCAGCCTTCTGGCCAGAGAAGCTCACCAGTGTTCGAGCCTGAGGTCCAACTAACACTTCATGTTCTCTGATGGAGCTTTGTCGTTCTGGAAACAAGGTCATACTACCCTGCTGCAAGAAGGGTATACAGTGAGCACTGTGCGAGTGTTCTGGAAAAGCAAGCCGATGAACCGCTATCAGAGTCTCGAGTTTTCGAATGCTGCGTCCTGAGCCCGAGCTGTACATTCGTATGGTGGCATGCCGATGTTTGAGAATTCAAAGCACAACGGGCACGCCGGAGCATCTTTCCTGAACACGAGGCCTTGAAATTGCAGAAGTTGTTGTTCGTGCGGAGTGGTATCTCTGTTACAGCCGTGTCAAGTGTCGCTGTGCGCAAGCCAAAGAGGATGCAACCTGGAAGAATTCTACAAGCATGTGTCGTAGAGCGCGGCCACCTGCTGCAATGGGGTGGAGACTCCTTTTTTCTGCAAATCTGTGGCTCTCGGCCGAGTGGCGTTTGAAGTATCAGTATCAGCGATAACATTGCATTACTCGGCTGGTCTTGCGAGGCTAGCAGCCGCGCAGGAGTTTCCAACAAGTGGGCATTTGCCTCAGTAGCTGCTAATGGGACTGAGGTATAGCAAGGGTGATATGAGCTGCGTTCAGCTCCATGAGTTGTTGGAGGCCGTGGCAACCAGGGCTGTAAAGGCATTAACGCAGGCGACGGAATTGAATGGAAGCCAATGTCACAAGCACAGCTGGGAGTGATCGGATCAACTGGCGCTGTCTGGCATCTGCGCCCCGGGCTCCGTGAGAACACTCTCAAGGTACCCTGAAGCTCCAAACGCCACATGTAGGTGTCAAAACATAACATCAGCAGCCAGTCGGAGAAAGCATCAGCATCGTTGTTTACGAAGTTGCGTCGAGTCCAGAGAGGTCACAGTGGTTCGATGAATCGGAAAGCATTGGGTTTGTACCAGGTGCTGGCAAGGCTGTAGGTTGGCTTGCATCTTGTGCAGCTCTGCTGGAAATCAATCAGGACATGGACATACGATTACGCGCAGCAACAGCCCGATGCTCAGAGCGTCCTTTGGTAGAGCAATTGGGAGTCGAACGTTGAGTAGGTCATAGCCTGTTCTCAGGGGTCACAGGACGTCGGCAACTTTCATGTGCGCAGAAACAGTGTGCCGCGAGTCTCAGCAATTCATGTAAGCAAGCCCGGAGAAGCTGCACCAAAGTGTGACATCATGCTGCAGCAAGCGCGCAAGCTTCGAGCACCGGCCTGGGAATGCCGAACCAAAGCTGCGTGGCAGAGGAAGGTTGGAGACCATAATTAGAAACTGGCTCACCATTGATACGCTTGCTGCACAGCCTAGCATGGCAAGGCCGAATCTCGGAAGTTAATCACAAAATTTTGAGCGCTTTCCGAAACAACTGCCCGAGATCCACACAATCTGCGGCAGCTGCGTGTGTCACGAGCGGTTCGCATGACCGCATCATTGAAGAGACGCGAACACGTACCAGTATGGTCTTTAGCTCGAGCTCAGTTGGTATTCTCTGCATGCAGCAGCTTGTAAGATACTGGAAGAACATCGTGGGCACGCAGTGCGGGTTGAGCTTGCTCACTTGATTCGTCTGTGCTACTTTCATGCGATTTGGCTGCTTGGGACTGCCAGGGCAAACTACCAGTCGCCCATTGACATTCCCAAGCCATGGCCTGTGATTGAGTTGGAATTCCTTTTGTTCTGTCGTTGTCTATGACCTCGCAAAAGCCAAGGGCACTTAGCTATGTCGACCACGCGAACCTCACGCGCCCCGTCTATTCTGAATGCCACTGTCTGCAACGAGCAGCTCGCCAGCGTTCGAAGACCGTATGCTCAAAGGGTTTGCTGACATGCCAGGAAGCTGGCTACAGGACCGTGCCCTGCAGCTTCATGCCGTTGTTTAGATTCTAGCGACTCCGGCGCAACTCCACATGTTCGAGCGAGCCTACATTAAAGCTCTGGATGCTTCGTGAGCTCCCGGGCCAATCCCAGGCAGAAATCAAATGCTACGAATCCACATATTAGATTCGGCAGAACTGATGCGCAAGCTGGGTAGTTCATGGTCAAGTTTGAAGCTGTGATGCAGTGGGGACACACAATGTGTCAATCTGAACCCGAGGTTCCGTCTTTGCGTATCGCAAAGCCTGAAACAGGCGCATACGTGCGAAGCGATGTGGCCACAATATTACACTAGTTACTTTGGTTACGCTTCTCTGGAACCTCAGCTCCAGAAAGACATCAGGCATAGCATGACTTCCAACAAGAAGGGTGGGGTAGGTGAATTCTGAAGACCAATAGTAGCTCTAAGTCCAGCAAATGGAGGCACAGAGAGGAGTCAAAATGATGAGAGCCACTGGCAAAAGCAGCAAATCCCCGTGAGATGAACTGTTTCTGGCTTTGCATGCCTGCACTCAAGTAGCTCCTGTTGATACACGAGCAATCACGAGCATAGCCTTGCACTTGTCCCAGATCTTATACAGAAAGCAGCAAGAATTCCGCAGAAGGAATCGGTGAACGTCTTGGACCCTTCGCAGTTTCCCTGGCAACTGAAGCAGTTGGTCAATTTGCTTCTGTCCATGCTGGCAGCACAATCCCCAGGCTTGGAGTCTGGCCGCACAGACGGTGAATGTCACGCTACATCCAGGCCCGGAGAACATGCGATTCCACAGTGTTCGTATCCACAACTTTCCAGGTCTAGATGCTGTGTGTGAGCCCTTTGCCTGTCGAGGGCCTGTGACATGGGAAGTGAGACTGGTGAACCCAGAAGCTATAGTGGTTCAGATTGGAGGACCGGGGATATGTTTGCCACAGAGCTCGACTGGAGACATGCCTACGTCGGCAAGGTTTGGACTACAAGCTTGAGTCCATGAGCTTCAAGTCACCGTCGGAACATACAGCCCTGCAGCTGAATAAGAATCCAGGGGGAAGTTGCAACGTCGGTCGATTTGCAGCGGCCGAGGTGGAGGGTGCCCACAATGGCATGGAGATCCAGATGCGGCATGTGGCAAACAGCCCTTTCGGAGCTTGCTTCTCAGTTTCTATCAGTGCACTCAGCCCCACAGAAGACCTTTGTGCGACGGCGACGTCCCTGCAAGGGTGGAGAGAAGGTGCTGATGGTTTCCATTAGCCTCCGGTTAGCTAAGAACGTTAATGCCGGCAGCTCAAGCGCTTCGCCTCGTTTCTCTCGAAGAAAAGACGGGACGAGGTTGGCAATGCTTTTCTGACCCCGATCTTCGCATCTATGCCTTTGGATGGTCAAGGGGCGAGACTCCCAGCCGGCCCAGCCCGAGAGGCGACAGGAATCCGCCCAGGCAGAAGTGCGGAAGTCATACGGTGATCGGGGATCACAGAGGCTCCGTCCGTGTTCATCGCCAACCCTTACTTAGACCTTGCTCCTCCGGAAGCTTGTCGGCAGTCAGATGCACTGGCAGAGTGAAAGCGATGCGTCTGCGGCTGACGTCCCAGAAGCCCAGGACAAGTCCTACGTGCGGTACTCCGGATCTACGACAGTGAGGGCCCTGCGCAGCTCTGTGAAGCTGATGGCAGAGTGTGCAGTGCTCGTGTGAGGCTCCGCCTTGTGAGCATGCTGATTGGATTGTGCAGCACCAAGACGATCTTTGCCTTCTACTCGGCGGTTCTTTGAGAGTTTTGGAGTGCTTGGGGTGAATCAGGTGTTCATGGAGCCGGGGTACCTCGGTTTCCAGCAGCTCGAGCAATTCCGGTCCAGTGCAGTGCCGAGAGTTTTTCAGAAGCTTGGGTGAGGGCACGTGGGTACGTGACCTGATTGATCCGCAGGCATCAGTGGATACCAACCCTCCAGACTGGCACCCGTGCGAGCCTAGCCAAAGCCAGAGGTCCAGAGCATCCGACGGCACTGTGTCAGACATAGGCGAACAGCACCCCACCACTCGGTGTCTCCGAAGCTTGGGACAAGTCTGCTCCTTAGGGCCGGTTTTGCCGCAACTCAGGCTCACTGTGACACTGATTCTAGGTTTTTCTCTGCGGTTGTATGATGTACATGCTTCACAGGACCTTGACCTAGAGGCCTAGTTCTGTGATGCGACTGAGTCGGTGGGGGCGAAACAATCGCCTCGCGCAGGCATGGAGCTCGGAGCATGTCCAAATTGTGTAGTGCTGAGGCATGTTCTGTTTGCTGTTCTGTCCATCTAAGGACCTGGAATTTCGTGAGGTTCAAATGATACAAATGATGAATGTTGATGCAAGTGCCGTTCCAAAGCTGACGGCATTCACAGGTGGACATCCCTCCGAGCATTTCATTGTGATGCGGTGCGTTTCCGAATGACTTGTGCTGGGTCAGTTGGAGGCATGGCAGGAAACGCGTCCTGGCAGCAGCCTTGCACCCAGCCACCGCTCGTGAAGCTCCGCAGCGTTCCCGAACCTTCGTGACCTAGAGGGGGGCTCAGGCTGAACATCTACTGGATCATTGCCTTGACACTTCTGGCCCCGGACTATGTTGTTCGGGACGAAGCAACTCTCTTTTCATGGGGTCATGTCGTGAAGGTCCTGGCGTGCGTCATCTGCGGTGTATGGTTGCTTGGCACCAGAAGCCCGTATGCCGCTGTATGCAGATGCATCTACGCGCACGCGATTTGAGGCTGCTCAGAGCACAGCTCTTTCACGAGGAGGCGATTTCTCATTGTCTGCTGGTACCTGGCAAAACTTGCAGCCGAGGAGTATCCAAATGGAATGTATGGCTCCGTTCCCAACTAGCTTTTGCAATGTTTTATCTTCGCCGCCTCATTTGGCGATTTTTGCTTCATTGTTGAGTGCCGAGGTAGGGAGCTTCGGAGCAACGGTTGCTGTGAAGTTTCGGATTCTGAAGAAGACATGCCGTCCCGTGCTCTGCCGCTCGCGGTGAGGGGCGAAGTTGCTCTTGCGTCCCATTCACCAATTCAGGTTCCAGCCATATGGACCACACCCGGGGCAATGGCACATGCCAGCGCCGTCATACCTGGCACCCTTCCCAGAGCAGTGCAGGCCCGAGGACTTCAGTTTGAAGAACCTTTGGAGTGACGGAATGGCGGCATGATGCGGGATGATAAGGTATATGCATGCTGCACCTGCAAGAGCTGGCTTTGGCAAACAGGACCGGCGGACAACGGCTGGCATTTAGTTGTTGTGACCATTACATGAGTGTTCCCGTTGTACTGCTGGAGCAGGATCAAATCTACATCGCTTGAGGAAGAGCTGCCACCCGTGCAGACTCTCCCCCTGTCCAAGGCAAAGACCTCCGACAACCGCTGCCACTATGCACTTCGGAACACTCTGCACTGGCTACTGAGCTTCCACACTTGCTTTCTGATTCATGTCGCGTTGTTGGTGTTCTTGTGGAACCCCAGCGTGGCATGAACCACGGTCTGTGTTGCTCCGTTTGATGTGTCATCCTCGGTGACTTGAGCGACATGTGGCGCAATTTTGACAGATCGGGTTCGATGTCTGCTTCGCCTTTCGTCGCTTGGCCAGACCGTTTTCGATGAAGAAAAATCAGATATTCATCCCACCCCCCAATGGATTGACCTCAAGTGAGTTTAGGTCCTCAGCAGCACAAGTAGACTGAGCACCCTGAAAGCTGAGTGGCAATGTTCAGAAGGGGGACAAAGATAATCCCCAGGATCGCACTCCCCCGTATCAGCCTTTACAGTTTACGATGCGGGCGCTCCGCTTTGTACGGCATTCGGCTCGGTGTCGCGCCGGAACTCTCAGCTCAGAACTCAGCCCAGAGCAGACAGCTGCAGAGCTCGAGACGTAAGAGCCCTTCAGGACGTGGGACTACGAGTTTCTCATTGCCTTGTGCGGTCTCTGCCGCGAAGGTTGAGGTGCAAGACACCTTACACACCTTCTATCCTTTCGGTGCAGTGCAGGTTCGAGTCGGAGATTTGCTGTCTGATGGAGGCGGAGATTCCGAAGTTGAGGCATGCGATTGGAGAACGTCCATGAGCGTCCTTACCCAGGATTCAGTGATGTTATCGTGAATTCCGCCAACGAAACGCTCGAAGGCCCGCTTGCTGCTCAGATACTTTCGAGACCGTTCTGGGTTTGCGGCTGGCGTACATGCGAGGGCCACTTGATTCTTGCTGGAGGCTTTTTCCATACTTCCCTATTGGTGTGTGCCACAGCACGTGGGCAAGTCTTCATGGTGCCATCAGCAACGGCGCTTGATCCAGGCGCAGAGTGTGAGAGTGGTGACGTGTACTACCAAGATGACGTGGACCGAAGCTAAGATCCTGCACAGATTGTGATCCGTCTTGACCACCGCAGCTGCACATCGCATGAACCATTTTCGGAACAACTGCAAGTAGCAAGCGAGGTTGACGGCCGAATCCACAAAGCTGGTGGCCCGGCATTGGGTCGCTCTCTCAGCTCATGTTCGACGTTTGAAGTCTTTGTGCCAGCCAGCTCCGGCGCAGACCAAGTCCATGTTCAGAGCTGATGCATCACAAGACGGTGTCTCAATTCCACTAAGCTTGACATGCTGGCCACTTGCACCGCAGGTCGACTCTGCAGGCGTCTTCCGGAGTTGCTGGAGACTCACCTTTGATTGCCCCTTGATGTAGAGACCTTGCCAGTACTTCACTACTCACAGCACTGCAAGGCCGCCCGAAGACGACCCAGACGGACCATATCCAAGTCCCTACACACAGCGATGCGAGATCGGAGGCGCTCGCCTGACAAAGGCACACCTGGATCTGAGTTGGACTGTGCCAACGTGTGCCCTACGTTGGCAGAGGTGCCCGAGGGCAGCGAGCTGGCACCTGGCTCGATTCCTTCAGAAACTTGGTGACTGGGCATGGAATTTCGGGAAGGTCCAGCACTGCCAGTATGTTGCGCATGCTGTCGTGCCGATATGGGCAGGTTCCTCAGAGATGTCGACTATTTCTTGCAGACACATGTTCAGGTTTCACTCAGGGAATGAAACGCTTTACGCAAGGCCGGAGATTTGGACTTGGAGGAGCAGAACCGACGGCTGAGCCTTTTAAGAAAGGCTTCTTTGCCAACCCATGCCAATCGTTGGCACGTGCCATGTGCTGCTGAGAGGCGTATGTCTCTGCCTTTGCCGCTGCCGCAAGCTCGAGCAGTCCCGTGTTGGTTGCTCAGTGCGTCTGGTGGTGGTGATGTATTGGTTTTGCCTTTTTCTTGTTTGGGTGCGTGTGTGTGTGTGCGCGTGTTTTTAGCAGCAAGCCAGCAAGCCAGACAGCCAGCAAGCGGGCAGGCAGGCAGACAAGCAAGAAAGGCAAGCAAGCAAGGCAGGCAGGCAGCCAGAGCCAGCCGTCTTCCAGCCGGCAAGCAGGCAAGCATGGCATGGGTTCAGATGATCCACCATCGCCTAATGAGCAGTGGGTTTAAGAAATGGGATCAAACGACGGAGCGGAACAAAGAGATTTACCGCTATCACCTATTGAAGGGTGATGAGGTAGGCTGTGTTTAAGAAATCACAGAGCAACCGCCATGGGCTAGCGGCTAGTGAAGGGGGTGGGACCGACACACCAATGAGGGGGTGGATTTGGAAAATAGCATCAGCCGTCATCGTTTAAGTGACGAGGGGGCCGGCTTAGGAGATGGGATCATGAGGAGGGAGCAGGGCCTAAGGAACGGCATCAGCCGCCGTTGCTATCGCCTAATGAGGGTTGGGGGCGGGTTAAACACATGTGTGAGCACAATCCGCCGCCGACGGAAGTCGGTTCAAGAAATGGGATCCGCCGCCATCGCCATTGCCTATTGCAGGGCGGGCTTTAGAAATCTGATCAACCGTAAAGGCGAATACATTCTCGTTTGCGATGAATGGCGCTTTCCGAAGGATGCCGGAAGTGTGCATGAAGGCAAAATCTGCACCATACCATGGCTGGAGGGGAATTCAGGATACAGGAGTGTCCCGGTAAAAGACATCCATCTAATCTCGCGACTGTGTTTCTAGTGCTACTGGTAGCCCTTTGGGCTTCGTCCTGAGCTGCAGACGCTGAAGGCGACGGATCTGTTCGCCATTGCTGGGTGCTGGTGCAAAGATTGACGCTCAGTTCGTGGGTGCGGGGCGGTGGGGGGCTCTTCTCCGGATCCAGAGCTTGTTTTTGTTAGAGGCAGTTCCCGATCGACCTGGCGGCGCGTTGTGCCAGTGAGGCAGCCAAGGCGCTCAGGCAAAAGAGCAGTTGCAGCACAGCCGAGGTGAGCACTTCCGAAAGTAAAAGTCTCAGGTCCTCCTGGAATTGCGCAATCCGACGTTAATGGACTTGGAGGTGATTGCCTTCATCGACCTTCGGAAAGACTGTGCTGACCAGTTGATCCATGAGGCCGGAGCATATGATGCCATACCTCGCCATATCTCCCTAGCGAGTTGTCGTGCAAGCTGCCTTCCAGTTCAGCGGAAAGCTCAACCCCGTCAAGTGAGCAGCAAGGCTGAAAGCTGGAATAAGGCGCGGAGAAAGAAAGGGAACTCCGAAGTACGAGGTGCCATTGGCTCTATGACTCAAGCCCTGCTCAAGATCCATGCTTCAATAGCAGGATATAGAAGCTTTGCAGCCTCTCGGAGCTCAGCTAGCTACCAGCTAGCTTAAATGCGTGCTTCTGATGGGTCAGTGCAGAAGCAAGTTGCCCGTGTAGTCTATTGAAAGTGTACCGCTGCGACCCGGAAAGTGGTCGACAAGTACTTAGAGACAAACCCAGAGCTTGATGGAGTGGGCAAGATTGAAGCTTCTACGTCGACATGACGAAGGCGAGAGAGGGACATAGCTGCCATCGCACGATTTTGGCAGTGGTTATTTGCACTATCTGCGCCTTTCACTTCCCATTTTGCCGTTACAAGTGTAATTGTTGTAAGTGCGGAATGTGCACCTCTGGCTGTTTAGCATTGTCTGTGTCTATGATTATCTTGGCAGACATGTGAGACAACCCATGGGCGGCATTCAAGCTGTCGTGGGTTTTCATCCAAGTCTGAAGCCGGAACCCGAACCCCAGTCGTCACAATCCCTAAGCCCTGGCCCTGAATGCAATCCCTTGAGCCCAACCCAAGAGCTTCTAGTGGATGTAAACCTCCCGAAACTCTAGAACAAATCAAACAGCTGTAAACCCAACGGCCCGCAAACCCGAAAATCGTCAACCCCCGCAACCCTGAGAAAGCTAACTCCAGGTCCGGCAAGCAGGAAGCCCTAAATGCCAACACATCCCGAGCGAATCCACCCAAAACTCTAAATCTTCGGAGTCGTAAACCCTAACGAATCCTTGCCGTACATCTTTCTTAAGCGTTGAGCTGCAAGCCCTAAACTCACCGATTGGAACCCCAAACTCCGGAGACTCTGATGGCCCTGAGCCCCGAACACAAGAAAATCTGTATGGCCCCATCCCTGAAGCGTAGACTCCCAACTTTAAGCCTCAACCGCAGATCCCCAAGACAGAATCGGATAATCCGCCTGACACCAAGAGTTTGGCTGGCTTTGCACTCGGTGAACATAGAAAAGCTGCACTTTCCCGAATAGATGTAGACGCAGCTGGTGGAAACTCTCATGCCTAAATGCTGAAGGTGATCAAGTCTCAGATAGGCAGCAACAAAGACGGGGATAGCCGAAAAGTTAAGTTTCAGCTGCTCACGACCCAAACCTACGCTTCAGGAGCAGAGCTGTTTCAAGCAGGACGTTTATCACGTCTGAGCCTCCTCGGCCTCTGCATCACAGCTTTGCGCTGCTATGCAGGACTTCAAAGAGCTTGAGGAAGCTTTGGAAGAAGGTCTCTGGGAGGCCGACGCGCAGAAGCGTTACGGCCCTAGCCTTGCTCTTTAAGCTGAAAAGTCTGAGCGGCCCTGAGGTGGAAGGCGACAACCTATACTTTGCAGTGGAGGCCCCCCCAAAACATGGCCAGTGAACCGAAGAATCACTGTTCTTTTTTGTTCCTTCTGGAGGCCAAAGATGCTTCCTCTGCAGGAGCAGCCACGCTCACAGCAGCCACCTCTATCCATCACACGCAGTGCGCACGAGCACTGAGGTAGTAGCCAGTGACGGTGGCGTGGGTTCAATCGCAGAGCTTGTGTGCCAAGCTGAGTGCAGACAAAGAGGCTCCGGAACTCGACAGATTTCGCCGTGTGTGAGGCACCAGCTCAATGGTGGACACGGCTGTCAGGCCTGAGAGGGGTGGTTCCATTGGAAGACAGGGTCACGTGGTAAGCGCGGAAGGCCCTATGGAGACCGAGACGTTCTCCCAGACTCGCCCAGAAATAGTTGAAGATTTTCAGAAGGAGGATGCTCTTCGTGGTTTCTGAGCAGGTGACTCGCCTGACCATGGCTGTGATTTGTAGAGGCCTCGGGGCGGAGAGTGCTGCGGCTGTTGGTAGCTGGTAAACCGCCTCGTGTCTCTAAAGTTTTTGGCATGACGATGAGGTGAAACCATTGATCTGGAATCAAATGGTACCTTCACTGCTCGAAGCTTATACACCTCTGCTTTGTACATGCATCACAATCACCTGTCATCGGAGCTGTTGTGCATGGGATGAGAAGCTGGAGCGCAAAAGACACGACGATCACATCTGTATGAGACTGCACAGGCAGCTTAAGCTAGGAAGCGAAGATGACTCCCAACAACGATTCAACGATTTCATTTCGAGCTGTTGCATAAACTGACAGAACGGATGCGACATCTCTTAAATTATATGGGCAAAAGAGGCAAGGCAATGCAGTATTGGATATCAGGATGGTAGTGGCTTGATGCGTAGAAGCAGGTAGCAAGTCTGAAAGGAGGTTATATTGGTGGTGCTCCAAAATCTGGGTTCATGCTACTTGAGACGGCACGAATCGCAACTCTTTTGAGGCTGCTACCGAAAGGCAAGCAGAATGTCTCGAGCATCTCCCACTCCCACCCCCGTTCACACCGTCGCTTTCCAAGAACCGCTGCATTGTTGAAACAAGAAACATCGTGAAGTGCCCAATCGTCTCGTTTTGGCTGCAGTGTTGATGTGTTGCGGGTTGACGGGGCTGGCATGTGGCAGCCGCAGGAGTTCGCAGGCACAAGCAACGACGGAAATGAAAGTCAAAGGTCAAAAATTGATCTGCAGAGCAAGCGGGCGTGCCGAAATGGACAGTGTATAACTTCATGGCGAAACCGATGCAGCAGACACAAGCAGAGACTTGTGTGTAGTACTGGTGTTGCAACATTCACAGACTCTGTCGTCGACTTGTCACACGCTTCGCTACAAGCCTGCGGTTGCAGCAGATTGGCCTGGCTTTTGACGAAGACTTTGAGGAGACGGCTCTCCTGGTGTGGCCATCAAAACTTTTCTAGTCTTCTTGCTCTTTCCCGCGGCACTGGCCAGGCAGTCACAATCAGGAGGCCACGACCTGAACCAAGACTGCCGAGAGAGCCAGGCCTCACAGCTTCCAGTTCACGAGGGTCGCCGCCTGTGCCTCCGCGACGTGATGTGAGGAGACCCACCAGAAGAGCCGGAGATGCATCGGCCTTAGCCAGTTGCCTGCGGGCCCTGCGGGCCCTGAAGGCGTTGTGGGCACATGTGGGAACGGCGCAGGCCAAAGCCCATTGCACTCCACGTGAATGGTCAGGTGCACGGTAACAGCTGTCGCTTGACTCACTCATCCATGGTGCACGCAGCAAGCCGTTGCCAGGTCGCCGCTGAAGATGTTGGCGATCTGCCCGTGAAGATCGAATTCGACGTCCAGCTTTTTTGGGACGAGGCAGCGCTGCTCGCGCTCCGTGCGTTGCGCTGGCATGTCTGGAGCGATAGCTGCGCTGCCCAGACACGAACAGTGAGTCTTCGGCACCGGCTCATCCCGCAGAGTCCCAAGTTGCGAGTTGGCCACTCTAGAGGATTAGAACACTGCACGTTGCAGCATTGCAAGGCTCAGGGAGGCAGCTTCCGAAGAGCCGCCGCTTGGCGAGGTGGAGGCGATGTTTGTGCCGTTCTGGCGGCGTTTGGGCTGAGCTTACCATCGCGACGGTGCTCTGCTGACAAGGCACACACGACATCCACCGGCTTCTACACGACCGACATAGGATTCGACCTAGCAAAGGCGCGCTGCCCTCCTCAGCTGAGTTTGCATGCGATAACTCTCAGGCCGTTTTCCTGCGTGCTACCGGTACCGTGCGGGTGCGCCTGTTGCTGGGAGCCTTGGTCCTTGCACCCTCGCAGAGGCGCTCGCAGTGAGCTGCAGCCGTTCAGGTCCTTGGAGTGCCAAAGTCTGTGACTCGAGACCGGCGAGAAGCTCTTGAAGTTGAGCATGTCGATCTTATACAAAGTTTGCAGCGTGATCATTGTCAATTGCAAGGGCAGCTTGCTTGGCATGTCTCGTTGAGCTGTGGAGCTGCAGCTTTGCGTGGGACGCACGTTCATGGCTCGCTTTGGCTTGCAGAGGCGGCTGTAGGTAGAACATGTGCCTCCCATGTTTCATCATAGCCATGACATCAATTATCCTCACCGGCATCGCCTGCCCTTCCGGCGCTGCCGCACAGCCTGCGCTCAGTCTGCTGACATGCTGCGGGAGCATGAATGACCCCCAGGATGCAGGCGGCATAGGCAGGATGCCTTTCAGATGTGTTCAGTCATGCAGAAATGCAGGTCATCATTGATTGGCCTGTAGGCGTGGATCAGCAATGCCCCGTCTGCTGGAATCTTCTTTGCGAGCCAGTAGCTGATGCCTCAACCTGTATCCTTGCGGAAGCCATGAAGATGCGACTTGTCGTGACTCTTAGGCATGGCCAGGTTGCCCGCACCACTTCTGCCTGGTGTGGGTCCTGATATCGAACAGTACGTTCCCCCGGTTCCATCGTGGCTCCTGAGATATGTGCGCTACGGACTCGTCGCAAGCCAAAGCCGATGTGCCCGCTGTGTCGTGCTGGCAGCTCAGAACTCGACCCTATCCTAGCGATCGCCAGAAGCTGTCAGATGCGTATTGTAGCCATGCAGGCTCCGGCAAGCCAAGTCAGGCAAGCAGGAGAACTGCAGGCCGTATGAGCACCGTCTGTGTGGGCTTGCTTCTGCGGATTTGCGCGGCTACCCTTAGTTTGGTGGCTACGGCCACAGAGAGATCAATCTTGGATATTTCCATCATTTTCCATCTGAGTATGCAGGTGCCAGGAAGTTTTGTACCCAATGATAAATCCAGTACCATTCTGGACTCACGCCAAGCGTTCTTGCTGCATATTTCCCCACTGGCTTAAGCGGCAGCTGCAAAGCGTATGGTCCTTCAGGTCAATGCCGCCCACGCAGTTCTGATACGCAAGGCTTGGCGTGGTCTGCCCGCTGAGAATGTTGCAGCCGAGACCTTGCTCCAATTCTCGCCGTGAACTTGAACTTTAGCGCCTGCACCGGACCACGTTTAAAAAAAAAACGCGATCGTGAGGCAGCCATCGTGTCCTTTTCTGAAAGTCTTCCAGTGCGTGCGAGTTGACATGTTGCAATCAATGATGGACTGTCCATAGCTATTCTTTGCATGGTGAGCCGATCAACTCATTGCAGATGCAAGTCGGATTTACAGAATTGCACAGATGTAAGTATGTAGTCATGTGGTTGCAAGACCGTTTGGTCGTATGGTGTGCCTGTGCTCGAGGCTGTTGGCTATTCCGCCTACGAGTCCCAGCGTCGCGAGACATGGGCACAGGCAGCAGATCTAGACGCTGCTGGAGGCGACACGCACTTCATCTGCCACAGCGGCAAGAGCGTTGTTCTCGATCCTATCCGACGTCTGTCGCATGACACGAGCGACATCAAGCCTGACCTGTCGCCGGAAGAAGTCTAACTGTGTGCCTCAATCCCACTTGCAGGTTTGGGTGGTCCTTTACCCCTCGTAACTGGGGGAAGTGAGGCACGCTTGCTTCCGAGATCGTGTTCGACGTTTCTGCACTGCCCCGTAGGCTTGGCAGCGGTTGAGATTAGGCTCTCAGCAGGAGGCACGGTTCCCACGCTCCTTGTCTTTGAGCTGTGAGCACTCGAGAAGTTCAGCAAGCGAATGCAAAGCCAGCGGCTGCTCAAACAAGCATCCTTCCCGATGCTATCTGATGCTATGTAGCAGCTTCGCACTGCCAGGTCATACTTGGGCCAACATACGGAGAGTTGCTCAGTCCTCTGCGAGCTTCAAGAGCCAGTGCCATGAGTTGCTGAAGCAGACAGGTTGCGACGTTCCAAAGACAGAAAGCAGAGCTGCACGAGTCTCAGGGGCTCAGTCCGTCCCTCGTGCGGTGCCGGCCGGGCCTTGGGTTGTGCCGAGGCTCCGCCTTTGCGGTGCTGCTTCAGTGCCAGTCCCAGACCTCCCAGACCCATCAGTTCCATCACTGTAAGACTGTAAGCCACCGCCACCGGCGAAGGCCCGCGCGCTTCGAAGTGGGCGCCAAAGGACGTGTTTGCCGCATCCTACACGAGAATGAAAGCACTACGGCACGTCGCTCAGCGGCTTTCAGCCTCGTGTGGATTGAGCATGAGACTCTGTGCTAAGGAAGGGCATCGGCATGCCGTGCTGACATGCCTTGGAGTCTCAGAGCTCTGTGCCGCACCATAGCGCCGTGTCGCGCCCTTCTGCGCATGGGCAGGTTTTGGTGGAGGCGGGAGCTGCATGTCGGATCATCGAGCTCAGCGAGGACTTGGAGGCGAAGCAAAGCGAAGAGTGAAGCAAAGCAGCAAAGCCGCCGAGCTCATCGTCGCATGTAGTTGGAGTGTGGCGCGTACACGCGCATGTAGTTTCCGCCACTTCTGGGACTTTTTCGGGGTGGGGTGGGGTGGGGTGGGGGGGATGATTCCGTGCTTTTGGACTTCTGCAAGCCCAAAACGCACCAGCTCGACTGTCTCCATCCAAGCCCGAAGCATTGACCCCCAAGACTCCGCACCTCGAGTCGTTCTCCGTCCCGCGCATTCGGAGTCAAAGCCGGCATGGTGACGCAATGGCTTGCGCTGGCCTGATCTGCACGTTATCCTGCTTGGCACATGGATGTACTGCAGGAATGGCTGGAGTCTGATGTGGATGTTATCCTGCTGGGATGGAGTCTGATCTGGACGTTATCATGCTTGGCATATGGATGCTCTGCGGGAATGGATGGAGTCTCATCTGGACGTTATCCCGCTGGGATGGAGTCTGATCTGGACGTTTTCATGCTTGGCACATGGACGTTCTGCAAGAATGGCTGGAGTCTGATCTGGACCTTATCCTGCTGGGCTGGAGTCTGATCTGGACACTATGGCGAAGCATGCCCGACGGGGCGCCGAGCATGCCAGACGAAAAGGCCACTTTCCGTAACAACTACTTGCGATCAAGTACTCAAACAGCCTGTCCCCCAGCCCCAAAGTAGGAAAAATTGCCGGATCTGCTGAAAACCCACCCCTGCCGATGTATTCTGCACGTCCATGACCCAGTTCAATGCGAGCAAGTAGTCAAATAGCCTCCCCCCCTAAAATTGCCCAAGATGCTGAAAACCCACCCCTGCCGATGTTTTCTGCACGTCCATGGCCCTTTTCAATGCGAGCAAGTAGTCAAATAGCTTGCCTTGCCCGACATGCTCAAAACCCACCCCTGCCGATGTTTTCTGCACGTCCGTCGTTGAGAACATGCCTTTTGTACCACGCGCGGGAATGCGCCACGAACCATGTAGTTGCTGGTGCCAGGCGCAGAGCGGCGCCACTGGCTTAAACGGTCAAGCAAAATCACCTTGGTCTCATTGCTCTCTTGCAAGGCAGCGCCTTTGGTGATAGGGAAGCTTGAGGAGCTGGATGAGGAGGAGCTGGCAGCGACCCTATGTGTATGGACAGATTTCACAGGCTGCTGCTCAGAATTCAAGGTTCTCGAGGAGGGTCCGCTGGCGGCAGCCTCCGTGCGGGGACACAGCGTGTTCGTAAGGCTTTGAGCACGGGACTTGGGTCCTTACGGCCTTGGAGTCTTAGAGGACATTGTCAATATCCTCGGTGTGCTTGGACGCAACCTTCAGGTGAGGAGAGTTAGTCCCGCTGCTCCGCTGCCTGCCGCTTTTCCCGTCGTGCTCGCAGGCTGTACGGCAGCGGTGGATGATGACAGCGATGTTGCAGTTACTGGACGAGGCCCTGCACCTTGTGAATGCGTGGCGGCATTGCGTATCTTTTTCCATTGCTTTTGCTTTCCCAGGACCGGCGGAACCTGGAGAATTTGCAAGCAGATCGGCAAGGGCCGGAGCCTCTGAGCCGAAACGGCCCGGCAGCAGAGTGCACTGTCCTCGAGGCTCGAGTCCATGCTCGACGTGATGATGTCATACCGGCCGCGGCCTCGAAGCCTCGAGTGCAAGCGGTGGGCGGTGGATGACCCGCTTCGGCAAGGCAAATCATTCGGCAGATGGACACGTTGCTGTCGCAAGCATCAGAAACGGTTGGGGCCCTGGAACCTGGGGGCGCAGACTTTTGATTCTCACCTGATTCTGACTCCGACTCTGTCCTGCGTTCTTCCAGGCTGAGCTGCTCTTGCCGAGAACAGATGGCGAACGCGAGGAGGATCTGTCAGACATGGAATTCAGGGCGAAGGGGCGAGTTTCAAGCATGTTTGACCAGGCGGACCCTTCGCTTCCGACACCCGAATCCATGAGTTCTCCGCATGGAATCCAAGCGCCAACGAGGCGGACAATGTGTGGCAAGCTGCAGACTTGTCGTGAAAAGCAGGCATTGCCTCAGGGACACGAGCAGCAGGGGTGGAGGGCTTGGACAGGTGGCACAGCGACTTCTTGTTCTCCGAAAGGCCGATAGATGGCTGGAACGGCTGCCCGTAGAATGTGCAACACCGGTAGCAATCCGCGAAGAAGGTCCCGGACCAGATGACCTGGAACAAGACTCGTCCGCCGTCGCGATGAGCCCAAGGCCTAAGGATGCAGTCTCCGAGTAGAAAACGGCCAAGCAGAGGCCCCTGGCCCTGGCCGACTTCACCTACACCACCTTCAGATGCGAGACTATGCTAGACGGCGGCGATATGCAAAGGGGCTCCGACACAAACAGGATGCCGGGCAGAGTTGGGACCGACGGAACCGTCACTGAGAAGCGGCGGTGCCGTGTCACTCACGGCATGAGTGAGCGGGCTTTGTAAACGCTCCGGCTTGGACAACACCGACTGCGGAGCTGCACAAGACTGCGTGGTCGCGAGAGTGGAGGGGAGGGCCAGGGGGCGAGAATACGGGGCTGCCTCTAGGCGTTTTGTTACTGTAGATTCAGGTGGGGGGGGTTGCCTTGGTAACCCCGGCGGAGCTGCCGCCCACCCCAGCCGATTGGGAGAGCGCCGTTTGCGCAATGGGAGAACCCTGTGAAGGGCGGGAATTGAGAAGATTCTGGTCAGGCGGCTTCCACCTGTGAGCGACGAGGCCGAAAAGAGAATTTCGCCCCCAATATCTGGTGCACCCTGAAGTCTCCAAAACAGGTCTCTGCCGCACCGGCAGACACAATTGCTGCGCAGCCAGGGGAGCCATTTCCTGAAAAGCAGTGTGCACGCATCTCCGTGTCGTAGTCGCAGCTTGGGCCAAGCCGTTCACTGCTTGAGGCCTCGAGGTTCCGGGGGACGCTCAGAGCCCAGGGATCTCCCGCCTGCGGAAGTCTCAGGGGGAGCCTCCGCATCGGCTCGTAGACCTAAGGCCACCTAGTCCACTAGCGACCTGGTAAACTCTGGTCGGAGGTTTCTCAAGCCGAAGCCTTGCGCAGACGAGGCTTGGTGCGTCAGGTCTTTCGGCGTGTGACTCTCTTCCAGTGCTCCTCTACTACTTGGTAGCAGGCAACATTCTTCCCGCAGTCGGTGCCAGTGTTTCTGGCGTGAGCCTGCCAAGATCGCAAAAACGCAAGTCTGTGAAGAGAGGCAGTTCTTGTGACTGTGCTAGAATCCACCACACGAGGCAGGCGCGCTGCTGTCCAGAACGCCTCCAGCATTCCGGCGAAACAGGTTTGCGGCGCAGATGCATGGGAACTTGAACCACGTGCTGAAGACAGCTGGTCGAAGGAACCTGCCCGTCACTTTGCAGCGAGCCGGCATTTACCCTCGCAATGTTCAGGGAAATCAGGAGCAGTGTCGCCTTTCTTAGCCCGCAGCATCAAACTTGAGAGAGCCCTGGCCTACCCGCACCCGCAGGGCACTCGTGGACGCTGAACAACAGTGTAGTTGAGCAAGACCCGAATGCTGGGCACTTGCTGGACATAGCTTACACAAGCTAGAGCAAAGCTCTTTTAGCGAGGCTGTTGAGACAAATGTGGCCAAGCCATGCGATTCGTGTTCCAGTCTGTCTGCCTCGAAAAAAGACAACTGCGACTGACGATTTAATGCAATCCAAAATGAGCCCATATGCTCTGACCTTGTTGGTGTGCTACTTTGGCTCAGGGCTGCATTATTCTTTGTACAGACCTTTGCCCACAAAAGCTGGAAGGCATCCGACAGCTCTGCAAGGTTGCCGGGACTGCGATGTCAAGGGAATACCTGCGCTGGCAAGGCAATGGCTGAGACAACTTCTAGCTCTCGCAAGTCAAAGTTGCAGAAGGCGAGGCCATCAGTCGCGCTGTGCTGATGATGTAGACCGGGGGCAGCCGAGCAACTAGAGGCTAGCGCAGAGGCAGTCCCAGTCTCAGAAATCGATGTGCAGTGCATGGGAGTGTGACGAGAATGCTTGCATTGATCTGAGGGCGAGGTCCCAGTCGGTAAAGGAGGGAGGCAGCGCAAAGTCTTGCGTGAAAGCATCCAGGCTCGCTTTGCACAGCTGATTTTTTTGGAACAGCTCTTTTTGTCACGGTTTGCTGTTCTGCACTAGACAGAGCTTCTGCAGTTATCGCCACGACTGCTGAGCCACTGTGTACAAGCCCGTGTATGCTCAAGCTTTCTTGTCAGGGCATCACAAAGCCCGCAATCCGACGCCTTGCTCGACGTGGTGGCGTCAAGCGCATCAGTGGCCTCATCTACGAGGAGCTTTGTGCCGGCGAAAGTCCTTTCGGGATGCCTTGCTTTCTCTGCGTCCACCCGCCCCTCACACGGCGCGATTGAGTCAGCTTATATAACTGAAACACGTGGGTTCTGCGGGATGGCACAATTCGACAAGTGACCTGTGGCAAACTGTCTGGCTTTGAGCAGAGGCTTACAACCAAGCCAGTATATGCGCATGGTACGTAACCTGCAGGTTTTGGAATGGTCTCATCGGGTGCAGCCGGCGTCGGCAGAATCACAACAAATTGCAGAAGCAGGATGTAGTCATGCCTCATTCTGTATTGCAAAGAACCTTCTCAGGAGACTCGCGGTGTCTTGAAAACCTTCTTGGAGAATGTTCTCCGTGATTCGACCGGGCCTTAACTTGGACATGTGTGAAGAAGTTGTGGTGTTTACACCTGCAAGACTTCAAGGATCACTTACACAGAACATGCTCGCCGCAAGACCGTGACCGTGTGTCTGGCATCGTCTTCTATCAAAATATGCGATGCCGATGCAGCGATACATCCGCTGCCGTGTTGCGGCCAGGCCATGGACATTGTGTATGCGCTGAAACGCCAGGGCCGGACGATCTATGGCTTTGGCGGCTAGGCCACCGCGACAGTACTCTACTGTAAGCCCTGGAAACGCCCTACTTTGGACAAGGAGTTGATGCTTACATGCATGGACCGTTATTTATACTGTTCTTGTCAAGCTTGGACTCCAAAGTGCTGCTATGCACAGACGATATCCTCGATTAGAGCTGTGTACGCTGTGATCAGCTTGTTGTTCAGTCCATCAGTCTTCCAATCCGATCTCAATCATTACCATCAGATTCGAGCATGGCATGTTTGCTTTCTTGACATCTGCAACAAAAGCTAGGAAAAAGTCGATTAGGGCTGGGCGATATTGCCACGAGTCCTTGTGTAGACTTGTAGTTGTTACTGTATCAAAAAAATTCTGATGCAAGATCTTTGTGAGACTTGCTTCAGTCCATCTTGCCTGAAGGCTGGATTGGCAGCATCTCTTTCTGAGGGGATCCGTAACGTTGCATTGCCGAATGCCCAATGCAAGTGTGATACCCGAAGCGACCGTGCATGTGGTCAGTGATATGACATCACACAGTACTTTTCGCGAAGGAGTGGTATGAGCAGCTTTCGGGTATTTTGAGAGATCCATGGCGATCCAGAGTCCCACAGCAAGGCGTTTATGTAGGGAATCGGTGCCGGGGCTGGGTGAAAGGCGGCGACCATGCACGTGCAGCAGTGTAGTGTAAACTTCAATAGCCAGCAGCATCAATGCAATGCAACAAGGTGTTGCCGTTGCCCATGCCTGGTAGCCTGTGTAGAATGTAGAGTACGAGGACAAGCGAGCTCGCCCTGCTTGAGCGTCACAGGGCAATTAATGGCTCGCTAACCTCCGTGGCGCCGGGGTCACGAGGCCACTAGTGAAGTGCTGACAACAATCTATGACTTGACGACATCATTCTGATGCACACGAGGAAAGGGTGAGCGTTTTCATGTGTGGTCGCAGAAAGCGACATGTGCTGACCGCCTCAGAAAAATACTGCAACATATGCAAATTCTTCTTGCGAGAACACATTTGCTAGTGAGCATTCTCTGTATCCTATGGCATGCCATGAAATGCCATGAAGCCGTGATGTCGTTCGCTCTTCGGGGCTCCCGAGTAACGTGCACCTGCTGCTTGCCGCTCCGTCCTGCATCCCCAGGTGCCTTGAGCCTCTACTGACTCTACTGCACCGCTACGTGAGTCTAGCGTCGAAGCTTCTTTGTGTCCAGTCGCATCCAGGGCAATGGCGGAGACCACTTCGAGCTCACGAAAGTCCAAACTGCAGAAGGCTCCGATGGATCGACTCAAGACGAGCTGCCAAGAGCTGTGTGCAGTGCGGTCATCGCTCCATTCCTGCAGGCGACAGTGAGGACCCGAGCACCAACTTCGCCAATACTGGAATCAAGCGACCACGTGCATGCCGAGTGGCTTTTTTGAACTGAGGCTGAAGAAGTTCCAGTGGGAAAGGCAGGCAATAAGCAGCGCCGCGTTCTCCGTGAAAGCATCCAGGACCTTCAGTTACGGTGATCATTTAATGCCTGTCATGAAGACTTTTGCAGTGTTGTGTTGCGTCTCTCCAAGCGCAGGGAATCACAAAGCCAGCAATTCGGCGCCTGGCCCGACGTGGTGGTGTGAAACGCATCAGCGGGCTCATCTACGAGGACATATAGGGGATGCTAGGTGCCACTAGCAGGTGCCCATGGCCTTTCTCGGAACATTTGGAGTGACGGCGCGCTGCGTCGAGACGGACTGACACGATGAGTTCCACTGACGACCAGCCATGACCACCAGGACGACCAGGAGAACAGGTAACATGAGACCACGAAGAAAGCCCACGAGACCACGCAGAGACCAGGAGACCACCCAGAGAACGCAGGACACCAGCGGGAGACCACCAAAAACATGCTCAGACTGCACAAACTGGCGGGCGATTTAGGCAGTTGGAGGCCAATGTATAGGACCTACATCTTGCTTTCCGGGGGACACGGCTGCACGAATCATGTGTAAATGGTAGAAATCGGGTTTTAGCCCAAACTAGCTATGCGCCGCAACGCGATAAGAGCGTGGTGCGGGGACCTTCCGTCGCTTGAATTGCGCTCACTGTAACCAACTCTCTTTGCTTTCGACGATGGAACCCCGTAGTACCATGCTGTTTGCGGGACTTATGGCCCAGACGTACAAGACAAGCCGTCTACTTGGCCATTTGTTCCACAGAGTGATATAAGATACGATTATATTCGGGATCTGTGGGCGACAACGCAGGAGGTCGAGTTGAGGAAGCAGTATTGCCTGCACTTCGACGGATTCAGGGCGTGCTGTGTGGCAACTGACCTTCCTGCCTCTGTTGGGTGCCACTTCTGCTCGGATTTCCGATTCAATTTCTGCTTTTCGTTGTTTTTCCCGAGACGACCTTGTGCCATTCAAGATGTGATTTGGGCCGGGCTGCAGGCGTTTTTGCGCACGAGTCGGTGTTGCACTGGGCCTGCAGCTGGCAGAACTTACCCAGGCTTACGGTAGATCAGGGCTCCACCCCAAGCCACCGTGTACTTGTTTGTCTTCTTTGTCAGATTTCCGTTGCAATCCGACCCCCGGAGGGGCATCCAGCTCTTTGTGGTCACGTTGAAAAGGGGTGGAACGTCGGAGACGCGCTCGGGAGGTTAAGAACATTCATGCGTGCCTGAGTCTATGATGGACTGTCCTTCCTTTCTTGCAGCCGCTTTAATTCTTGCGATACAGTTTGCGCTTTCAGGGCTGGTCCGGGCAATGAAAGAGCGGCCTGCTGCCAGCCCTGTTCTAGAACTCCGAACAGTATGGGGCGAAGTGTTTACGACTATCTTGGCCATGCTGAAGGAAACCCGCGGTGTCTTGAAAACCTTCCTGGAGAACGTGCTGCGCGACTCGAGCTCCCCTTGGATTCCTCGTGATGCATCAGGTGTCGTTAACTTGAGAAATGCTGAGGATTACCTACACAGAGCATGCACGCCGCAAAACAGTTACGGCAGAGGCCTTACTTGCCCGTCAGAGAAAGGATGCTGCCTGTGTATGATGAGTTCTGGAGTTCCTGGTCCCCTTGACTGCCTTGCATCCGCCTGGATTGACCAGATCGACTAGGTGGCAGGAACATAGGACATGACTTGGACATGACAGACATAGGATGTGACCGTGTGGCACCCCACATTCACAGCCAGTGTGGAGGGCATCAGCACGTTCACATCCAGGGAAGCTGGGGTGGGAACATCGGTGACCATTGGGCTGGGGGTGGGTCAGGGGCACAGGCCGAACCCTGCCTCATACAGGGCTGTTTCGTGATTTTCCTGTCTTCGCCGCGACTACTAGCCTGAGGCAATGGACATTGTCTATGCTCTGAAGCGCCAGGGTCGCACCATCTACGGCTTTGGTGGATAGCAGGCACGGAGGAGCTACTCCTGCATACGCGGATCGCCCGACATTGTGTCGCACAGCATTCTCCCACAATCGTGTCAGGTGGACGTGCATGGGTCTGAGAAGGCGTGGATCAGTTTGACACAGTGTGGCAGGTAGATCTGGCAAGCCTCCGTGCAAAGGCGTGGCTTAAAGGCCGACTGGAAGGGCTTGAAATCGCTTCAAGTGTGCAGCTCTGCAGTTGCACTCTGCGGTGTAGCAGTTCCAGAGTCACATTGGATCGAGAAAGTGTATGAGCTATTTATGGCAACTTGGTCGTTCTTTCTTTATGTTCATCTTACAGCAGCAAGCTGTAATCTGCATTTCAGCTTTGTCGCAAGGTCCTTTGTTTCACTGTTCTTCGTGAGCGTGAAAGCACGCACACGGAAACATGTGGATGCCATGAAGCGATTGTGGTAGAGACCCTCCTGTTTCGTGATTTAACGCTCGCGTCGTTGTCCCTTCTGCGCCTGAGCACAGTGCGTTGCCTTGTCATGGGGTCCGGGCAAGTGCAGCGCCTACGATCAAGATGGGGTGTGAAGGAGAGGAGAAACAGCACTGTGTTCTTCAGCCTGCCCACGGATGTGCTGTGGCGGCAGACTCCGCAGGATTCTGCAGGATTCGAGGAACCTTACATAGTTTGCTGCGGCCGTGGTTCTTTGTGCGAGACGATGTCACCAGACCGAGCTTTGCAGCATCTACATGCCGGTATTGGTATCATGCAGTTAGGAATACCTCTGCAAATATTGTCATATTGCCTTTAGTGCTCTTGAGCTCACTCGACTCTCTAGCTTCGGGTCTGCGTCGAAGCCTTAGACTTCACTTCTGTGGATTTGCTCTTGCTGCTTCCTGCCCGACCGATCTCAAGGTCATGTGCGGAATCTTGGCGCTCTTTGGAGTTCAGGCCGCTTTGGGACCGGGCAGTCATTTGTAGCCTTATTCCTGTCGGGCAGGAAGCAGGTCCGCTCAGAAAGCAGGTCGTTGAGGCCGCAAAGCTCCTGCGCCAGCACCTAAGAAACGTTCTGTCAGAATGTTCCGAGCAGCCGTGTAGCTGGATGCTGACAATGCTGACAAAGGACACAGAGGACCTGACTGGAGTGGAGTCTACTGCGAGGCTCACGTCTGCCATGGAGCAGCTGGGCATTCGCTGAAAGTGCAGTGTGTGCGTGAGGGGTCCGCAATCATTGCCCACGAGCGACTGGCCATTGTCGATCCTGACAGTGGAGATCAGCCCCTCTACAACGAGGCGAAGGGTCGAGAGTACGCTTGCAATGTTTTAAGTAAGCAACTGAGACACGCACTCATGTCTGCAACCCCCTATGTGCTGATCATTGCAGCGCAGAGCTTATGTGCATGCTTTTTGCGAAGAAGACTGTCTGGTCGATGCGAGTTCGGTGAGCTTTTCGACTCGAATGGTGGCAAATCGATTTGAATTGAAGACCCCGTTTTGCCTGCCTAGGATGTCGTATTCTCGGTCGGTCCCGTTGGTCGCCACAAAGATCTTCGCCTTAGGGCTTCGGGGCTTCTTGGCATTGGCTTTAAGAGTTTTAAGCTTCGTTGAAATTTCCAAACACAGAATGTGTCGCAACATGCTCGAGCTTCCAGCCTGTGCAGCGGTGACCCATTCCCCCTTGAACCTTGAACGCCCCCAAAGCTCCAAACCACCCCCTATGCGCTGCCAACGGTCCAGAACGCCAATAGTAAGCCCCTCAGGAATGCCTGCATTTCCATCGGAAGCCGCACAAAGCCGCTGTTAAAACCCCTCTAGCCTAGCAAAGCCGTTATCACGCCCGTTCAGCATGTTTGTCCATGCCTTAGGAAACATTATGAACCTCGAAATCAAACCTGGCTGGAAAAACCTTGCAACACAGCACCAGGGTTGCACAAAAACACCGCAACACAAAAACTAGTGCATCGTTTTGGTTTTGCACAAGAAAATCTGACAAGGACAAGAGGTCAGCTCATGCTGAAATCATACATTTGGCCTGCAGAAGCATGACGGGTACATTGTGCTCGCAAGAGCAAGAAGCGTTGTGGGAAGGCGAAAGACATTGTTTTGGGCGTGAACGGCGAGATCTACAATTACGAAGACCTGCAAAAGGGTTTGGAGGCTCGGCCTCATGCCTTTTCCAGCGCTCACTGGCTGAACCAGTCTGGCAGGCCCGCGCTCCCGGTAAGCATCGGTTCCTCACCAAGAGCGACTGTGAGGTGGACTAGGGAATGAAGGCTGTCGCTGCGAAGTTCTCGTGTTAGCTTCTGAACAGGTCCTGCTCCACCTGTATGCCGAGGTGGTGGTTTCTCTGGCAAGCGTGTCGCAGATGATAATGGCTTGATGACTAGCCTGCAGGATGGCATCGACTTCATGTCGAAGAACGAGGCTATCTCTTTCACCACCTCTTGCAGTTCTGTCCGACAACGCTCAGGTGTGCGGTATGTATGCCTTTGCGATCTGGGACAAGAAGAAGCACTCGTGCCTCACAAGAAGAACAGTCGAGTGAACCGCAGTGGCTTCCGCTGACATTCTTGGCACAGCCAGAGGCCTCCAACTGTACGTGAGGTGCAGCGATCGCATCCGAAATTTTGTATACTCTGGCCAGTCATCGTCATCTTCATCTTCACCGTAGTCTCATTGTCACCGTCCCCGCCGCCATCATCATCGCCATCACCGCCACCAACACTGTAGCGTTCATTGTGCTCGCAAAGTTGGTTCGCTAACTGCGCATCGCCCATTCCGCCGATCAGCCGAGCTGGGTTTAGGGTTTAGGGACTGCTCGGCTGCTCGGCGTAGCACGCTTTGGGGCCCAAAAGCCACGTGCAAGCGTTTGCCAATCCGACGCCAGCAGCGGCAGCCCAAGCAGCAGCTTCGGCGCCAGCATCACCAGCACCGCGACAAACACCCCGAGGACACACAACAGCAACAGCAACCGCAACAGCAACCTTAGCAGCACCAACAACAACACCAACAAATACACCAACACCAGCAGAAGCAGTCATAACAGCAGCAGCAGCAGTAGCAGCAGTAGCAGCAGTAGCAGCAGCAGCAGCAGCAGCACCAGCACCAGCACCAGCACCAGCGACAGCAACAACAACAGCTGCGGCAGCAGCACCGTCCACAACAGCAACAGCCACCAGTAGTTCAACAGTTGCCAAATAGCCCCACCACCAGCACCGGGAAGAGCACCGGCACCGGCACCAGCAACAGCAGCCGTAGCGGCAGCAGCACTACCACCACCCCATCACCAGCAGCAGCAGCAACACCAGCAACAGCACCAACAACAGCAGCCACCAAGACAGTTAACATCATCAACAACGGCAACAACAAGAACAGAAGCAACTGGCAAGAACAGTAGCAGCAGCACCTGCAGAAGCAGCTACAAACAACACTGACGACAACAACAACAACCACTATCGTATCTCAATTTCTCAGCAATTCCGAAGAACATGGCGTGACTCAACGCCTCATCCGGGTCTATTCTGAGCTCGGGAATCGGTTGATGGATGCGTGTTGTTGTTGCGGTGTTTATCGCAATCACCTCTGTCTCTCCCTCTATCTCTGTGCTGGTGCGCATGTGCGATCAGTTGTGCTTGCAAGGTACGTTGTCGCGCGCGACCCTGTTGGAATCATACCCTTGTACATTGGCTGGCTCATGTCTCAGCAGCTGCGACAAGCCCTTCCACAGCAGCAGAGCACACCCGTATCTCTGGTTTTGTCGCAGGGGGGCCGATGGGTCTGTGCAAGTCGCGAGCGAGCTCAAGGCCCTGCACAAGGCCCAAATACATGGATGCTCAGACGGTTCGTGCCAGTGTGCGATCGGAAACTTGTTGCGGTCAGAGGCTCTGCAAACAGCTTTCCACACCCTCAACCGATAGAGGACCTCACACAAATCAGTCAGTGTCGTTCAAGATTCAGGACTCGAGCCATGCGAAAGAAGTGAATAATGCAATGAAAGGCGTCTCCCACACTCAAGCAAGCTAACAGTTAATGCTGTAGAAGGGCAGTGCTGTTACACCGGTCTAGTCCGAAAGCACCTAGATGATGGCATGGCAGCAGCCTAGCCCACGGCTCAGATGGAAGATATGCACCATCAAGAGGGAATTAAAGGAAGTTCTAGCTCATTCGCAGGTGCCACGGTGAGCCACAGCGTGGTATGGGCAACAGCAGCTGTCAGTCATGCGCAGTAGATCCTGCCTCAGACACGCTCAACAACGGAGAGACGTGTGCCGGCGGGTTAAACATCCTGCATCCTCAGGCAGATTGCGACAAAAGCCCAGCAAGGCCGTGCGCAGCACCAGTGCTCCAAAGCTGCTGGGACTTTTCAAGCCTTCCGATTCAGCAGTCATGCTCATGGGCCACGGTTGCTGTTCTGTGCTTTATGCTTCACTATGCAACTGACACACCTGCTTTGCCACACAGCTGAGTTGCTTTTGGGCTTTTGGAGCGTGGATGCTCTGCATACAAAGCTAAGGCAAGCCGCTGGGAAGCCAGGCGGCAGCCTTTTTGAAGCTTTCAGCTTAGGTGCAAACTGCTCCCTTGTAGGTCTCCTCGCCGAGCTTAACCTGGGTGGTAGCCCCAGCGTGGATCAGAGTAGCATGAGCAGTGGGAGGCTGCAGCAGTGCCGCTTGCCGTAGACTTTTCGAAGGAGTTTAGCCCACTTGGCCTTGATGCGGCCACGTTGCAGCACTTCGTCCTGGCCTCAGTGGCACGGAAGATCCGACTTCCAGACGGCAGTGTCGTTGGACTCCCTTGTGCTCCTTGGTAGTTTTTGAGCCCTCGCTGAAGAGAACAGATTTGGAAGGCCTCGGTTATCCCTTACTTTGGTGGCTTTGCACAGCTACATCTTCGGACTTGCGCAAACTGTTAATCTCCAGCCATGCCTCTGCTGTGATGAATGAAAAAGAAGAAGTATGTTTTACTTTGTGGTGTCATGTCCGAGTTGCACCGGCGTTACCTAAGGCTGTTCAGCTGTTGTCCCCAAGCTTCAACGAGAGTGGCGGACGAAAGGCTTCCCAAAGCTGGGCGCACTTCCATGCTGAAGTTAGATGACTGCTTGCGCAGGGGGAGGTGCTGAGGAACTTTGTCAAGAGTATATCAGCTGCTTACCGACAAGTTGGGTTCCACAACTTTATGCATGCCCCTGGCTTAGCTCCCTTGTCAGAGTGCATGTCCGTAGTCGAGTGCAGTACCCTCGATGCGGATCGTGGCACGAGGCCGTCGACACGCTGCAAGCGATGAGATGGCAATGTGCCCATGCTCAGCCTTGACACTGATGCTCGGAGCATTGTCTTGCAGGGTTCAGCAATGCTTCATGCAGGCAGCCAGCCGCCTTGGGACAAAAACCTGCAACATTACCAGCATTTTGCACTCTTGATTGCCGCTGTTGCTGTCCGAACCTCAAGGTGGCACACGAATCTGTGTACTCGCTTGGAGGTTTCTGAGGGTTCGTGGGACCTGGCCTTGAGGTTGATGTTGGCCACCCTGGCTTCGATAACGCCTTCCTCGTTGATTCGGGTGATCCCATTGCCTCATGCTGGGCCCCCGGAACAGACAGTCACACCAGATCACACAATCATTTTCTGTTGAAGCACTGAAGCACATCGTGGCGAAGGCTACAATGACATGTCTCCGTTGGAGTCAACCTGACACGTTTGTAAAAGGCGTGTGGCTGGCTTTTGTCTGCCTTGCCTCTGCCAGGAACATGCACAGTAGCAAGCTGTTCGAGATTCTGAAGAAGGATAGCCGATCGCAATGTGTCGAGGGCCTGTGGAATGAGATACATCTAGTTCAGGATGGACACAATGTCCTTGGGCACATCCCAAGTGAGGCAGGGCCTTGGGAAGTTTCAGCCGCATCTGCAGCAAGAGGTTCAGTTGCAAAGCTATATTGTTACGGTCTACTGCGATGCGAATGCCGTCGCCAGGAATTCCGCGAGATGCGAAGGCTCACGATAGACCTCATTCTCCACACAGACAAGTATTGCCAGGGGCCAAGTCGGCAGGGACATTGCAATCCGGAACATGACTGTGCAACACGGCGGTTGCGGCCCCGTGCCTAAACGGCTTCTAGTGAGTCTAGTGAAATCTTTGCCTTAGCTCAAGCTTGGGCAGCGTAACCAACGATCAATGCGAACGTCGACCGTGCCCGTGAGTCTGCGGTTCAAACTCACTGATCACTTGACGAGTTCCGCTGTTTACTTGCCGTTGAACGTAACTTATGACCTGCGAACATGGCTCCGGTCGTTCATCGCGCTCCACAGGGATGCGTTGACATCGGAAAGCGCTGCCAAGGTCACAGAGATGTCGTTGAAGACGTTCGCATCCTGGCACGGCAAGGTGGGCAAATCCAAGCTGCGCTAGTTTTTGCTTGAGGATTCATGCTCCGGTGATGACAGCCTGTCATGCAGGCTACGCACCAAAGAGTGTGGATCCGTCATCCGAAGAAGGCGATTACGGCAGCTTCAACCCTGGACAACGCTTTTTGCTGTTTTGCAAGGCGCCGCCATTCTGCAGGCAATGCCCTGCCCTGCACCTTTCTTGACTGCGACATCATCTTCTTAACTGTCCAACTTGCTACGGATTTTTTGTATCAGGTAGTCATGCGGGCCATGCTGTTGACCGCAGACCTCTCCAACCAGTGCAGGCCAGTCTTGAGGAATATTTTTTTCTCTCTCTCTCTCTCTCTCAGATCATTTTTTGTGACCTTCCAGGTCGCTGGACACTGCAAACGCCTGGGCTGCAATGTTGCAACAAGAGCTAGGCTCCCTTGAAGCGAGCTTGCAGGCTCCTGGTAGGACCTCCTGAGTCGTAGGCCTTCAAGACGAGCAAGAGCGGGAGCTGGGCCTGCAGGCCGCTTTCTTTCTGGCAGTGGCATAACTTTTCTGCAAGCTGTCAAGGTTTTGCCACTTAATCGCTGGAAGCGGCTTGGCAAACCGAGGCCCAGAGGCCCAGAGGCCAGGCCCCGACCTCTGAGGCCTGCGCTGGCCGACCTTCAGCTCCATCTGGGCATGACTCGCACTGGGCCCAAGCCTCAGCAGAACCAAGGAGCTTGCGGTGCGAAGCTGAGCGTAGTGAGCGCACGAGTGGCCGCTTCTCTTATCCGTGTCTCTTCGGCTCCGTGGTTTGGGTTTGAACTGAAAACAGGCAACTTTCATGGAAGGTAAAATCGATTAGTGAGGTTAAGAGCCATCAACAGGTGGCTGCTCGTTTCTGCTGAGGGGCGCGGAGCCTCTTTTACTACACTATCAGGAATGACTTTTCTTGAGGATTTCTATGAATGTAGACAACTGCATGACGGCCGTTTCCAATCAAAATCATTTTGTCTAAATCATTTTGTCTGGAACGGGCAGGTTAGTGTCGTGCAGAGTGACATCATTTGTTATGTGTGACTGATTCGGAGAGAGGTTGCTTCTGCATCTACGTTCCGAAAGTAAAGCTTGTCGACGAAAGCCTCACTGAACCGGCTGAGGCCCCTTCTCGGAGCTTGGGTGCGGGTGTTTCCTGCGCTGGCACCAGCATCTTGGCTTTCTGCCATTTGGGTTCGCGCTGTGATGCTGTGTTTGTCTGACGATAAAGCTTTGATGTGCGGGTGCTCCGCAGCACGACCCCCCAGGCCACGATGCAGCTTTCCAAAAATGGGACCAGCGAGCGGCCTACTCTTCACTGTTGGGGCTTCTGGTTAGTGTTGAAACAGGAAAGCAGGTTGTAGAATTCTGCTCTTGAAACGAAGCACAAGCTTAAGCTTACGATGGAGTGTGACCGACCTTAGAAAGCACCTGACAGGTTGGGCAGAAGCATGCATGACTCAAAACGAGGCGGGCTGGAGAATCGGACTTGTGCTTGCTTCGGCTTAGATGCAGGCAGCGCAGGTGGACTGCTGGCATTCCCCTGCAGGGCATTCCCCCAGTGAATCTGCAGAATCTGTCCTCAATGTGAGCGAACAGCAATTTTTGCTCGGTCGCCGTTTTTTTACGGCGACACGTGGTTTGTGGGAGCTGACAGGTCGAAGGTGCATCTGCAGCGGAAGAACGAGCCAAAAAGACTGGCGCTTAACTCCAGCAAGCCATGCTCAGAGGGCCGGGCTCATGCACCTTTGATGTGATGGCACATGTCGCAAGATTGAGGATAGAGGCCATGCTCGACCCAGCGTATCTTGGCAACAAATGGATGTGCAACTTCCGCAGTTCTGTGACATATCAAGACTAACAGACTAACGAGCTCAGGCGTCCGGCCCCTGCACTTGGCGAGGCCGCGAAAGGACATTACTAGGTTGTTCCATGTCACCTGACGGCCCAGAAATCTCACAGAGCTGTTTAAAGCTAATGCAGTTGAATCATGCCGTGGTGTACTGCAGGACATGATCGTTTCGGGTACTTGGCTGCAGCGAGGCCATACATCGGGAGGTGCCTTGCGAGTGAGTTGTCCTTGGTGCTCGAACTGACTGTGCCAGCAGACCCAAACAAGCACTTGAAGCCACTCCACAAACCTGACAGCATCTCACGACTCCTCTTGACAGAATTTGGCGGTCGCTTGACCTTTGTGCACCGCCGAAACTGGGGACGTGAAGTGCAATGTGTGCAAGAGAGCATGAAATGAAGGTGAGGTGCCAGGAAAACACAAGAGACAGATCCGATGCCGAAGCTTAACCAGTTGGCCTGTCCGCCCTCCGGCCAGGGCAGCCTGCAATTTTGCAACGATGATGCTGCCACTGCACAAAAGAAACCAAGCGAAGCTGCTCAAATGTTAGGTGTGCAAGACTTTGCCCAACGCTCAAAGGCTGCAGACAAGTTGGGGTTGCTGGGATCTGCGGAAAGATCCAGTTCTGAACCTTCCATATGTCAATGAGCTCTATTTACAAATCAAGGCTGAAGGCTGTC